CGACGCCGACTTCGACGCGGCCTTCCGGCCCGTCAAGGACCTCCTCCAGGGCGTCGGCGCCGCCGTCTGCGCGTACCGGAAGAGCACCGGCGGCGACGACGACGAGGCGCTGCTCGTGCCGCGCGTCGTCCAGATGGGCCTCTACGACGGCAGCGGCGGCACCTGCGCGGGCTACCGGGCGCACAAGGACAACGGCGGCGCCGTCGACGTCGCCGGCGGGCGCCTCGCGGACTGGCGCCACAAGGGCGACCGCGACCGGCTCGGCGCCCCGCGGCCGCAGTCCAACTACCGCGAGCTCACGGCCGTGCTCTACCTCAACGACCCCGTCGGCGTCGAGGGCGGCGCGGGCGGCGAGCTGCGCTGCCACTGCGTCGACGAGGTGCGGCGGAAGCGGTCGACGGTCGACGTCGAGCCCGAGCCGGGGCGCCTCGTGCTCTTCCGGAGCCGCCAGCTGCTCCACGAGGTCCTCCCCGTGCGCCAGTGGCAGCGCGTCGCCGTGACGCTCTGGCTCCTGCTGCCCATGCCGCGCATCCCGCCCGCGAAGCCGCCCGCGCCCGCGCCCGCGGGGCGGCGCCGCGTCCGCGTCCGCGTGGGCAAGAAGCCCCCGGAGCTCGAGGCGCCGGCGCCGCAGCCCGTCATCGAGCTCGAGGCGCCGGCGCCGCCGCCCCCCGCGCCGCCGCCGGAGGTCGAGGTGCCCGCGGCGCCGCCGCCGGCGGCGGATTTGGACGCGGAGATCCGCGAGACCGAGGAGAAGCTCCGGCGGCTCCGCGCCGCCCGGGAGGCGCAGCAGCAGCAGACGCTCGCGGCGTCGAGCGCCGCCGCCGTCGGCGACGGCTTCGTGAGCGTCAAGGTCACGGACGACGGCGACGCCGCGCGGCGGCGGACGAACGATCTGAATCGCGCGGCGATGCGCGCGGGCGCGCAGCTCGCGGAGTGCGTCCCCGCGTCGGCGTGCCGGCCGTCGAAGGTCGTCTGGGACGCCCTCAACCGCGGGGACCTCGTGGAGAACCCGGGCGGGCTGTGGGGCGTGCTGCGCGGGGCCGTGCCGGAGGCCGCGTGCGCGGCGCTGCGGCAGATCGTGCTCGAGCGGTGCCCCCTGGCGAACCGCCAGCCGGACGTGCGGGGCGACGGCGTCGCCTGGCTGCCCCTCTTCCGCAAGGACGACGACGCCTGGAACGCGGCCTTCGCGCCCGCGCGGGAGCTGCTCGCGGGCGTCGGGCCCGCGCTCGACGGGTTCTACAAGAGGGACGCGCCGCTCCTCGTGCCCCGCAACGTCCAGGTCGCCGTCTACGACGGCACGACCATGAACGGCGGCTACGGCGCGCACCGCGACAACGCCTTCCGGGACACGGTGTCCGTGACGGAGAACCACCGCGCGGCGACGGCGATCCTCTACCTCGACGGCCGGCCCGACTCGGGCACGGGCGGCGAGCTCCGCTGCCACGTCGGCGCGGCGGCGGAGGACCGCGAGGGCGCGACGGCGACGGAGACCGTCGATATCTTGCCGGAGCCGGGCACGCTCGTCGTCTTCGACTCGCGGACGATGCTCCACGAGGTCCGCCCGCTGGCGGGCTGGAAGCGCGTCGCCCTGACCGTGTGGCTCCTGCGGCGCCCGCAGGAGCCGGTCCAGCCGCGCACCGAGGACCTCCGCACGATCCTGGCGGCCCTCGCGTAAGTGTGGGCGGCGGAGCTCATGGCCGGGCGGAGCTGGCTGCCCGTTGCGAACGAACGTACGGCGATTAGCGCTGCGAACGATGGGCAGCATGCGCGGCGCCTACTTCGTGGGCAGCGGCGGCGTGCCCGCGGAGTTTCGAAGTAGCCGGAGCGTCGCGACGTTCAGCTTCCGGGAGGCGGCGGCGGATCCCGTGCCGCGCGTGCTCCACGGCGGGCCGGTGCGTCGCGTCGTCGCGCGACGAAGGTTCCCATGTCGTCGTTCGCAGGTGGGCTGGAAGATCGCGGACCGCCAGAAGTCGCTGGCGAAGAGCGCCTCGCTCGGCGCCATGAGCCCCTGGGCGACGTCCCAGGGGCGGTCCGGCACGCGGGGCGGCACGCGCAAGGGCCCGCGGCCCGGGGGCCCGCCGCGGCCCGAGCGCATCGAGGAGCGCTTCGACATGGACCCGGAGGGGCCCTGGCGCATCCTCGCCGTCCACGCCGACGGCACGAACGAGATGCGCGGACGCCCGGCGACATCGCCCGCGATTTTAAAAGAAATTACCGCCCCGTCGCAGCTTCTCCATCTCCGACGCGGACCACTCGGAGAAGGTGTTCCAGAGCATCCGCAAGTTCGGGCGCGTCTCGCAGAAACACTGCGACATGCTCATGGACCTACTGCGACGGAGCGGCCAGACGGGCGTCATCAGCGTCAAGGTGCTGGGCTGGGAGCACGTCCAGCCGCAGCTCGAGGAGACCCAGCGCATGCGCGACGCGAACAAAGTGGCCATCACGCGCATGTCGAGCGGCAAGCACAAGTCCATGACCTGGCTCGGCCTCGACCGACACCGCGAGAACCTCCACCGCATGAACTGCTCCCTCACCGTCGACTCCAACAAGCTGAAAATCCCCGAGCGCGGCTCTATATTCTAGCGTCAAAACTGGGTCTAGAGCCACCGCGCACGGTTCAGGGGCCACACGCAGGCGAGCGCTTTTCCCTCGAGCAGACCCATGGGGACGGGGCCGAAATCGCTGGAGTCGTGGCGCGCGGCCGCGTCGTCGGACTGCAGCCAGACCTTGCCCGGCGGGATCGCGGCGAGGCGGCCGAAGGACGACCCGCGGATCGGCATCACGCAGGCGAACTCGCCGTTGAAGTGCTTCAGCCGCGCGACCGCCGGCCTCCGCGTCGTCGGCGACGAGAACGCGACGAGGTCGTTGCGCTCGTAGCGGCTCCGGCCAAAGTTTTTCAGCACGACGACGTACTCCGTCGCGCGCGGCTCCGCGGGCGCCGGCAGGTCCCCCGCCGGCGCCAGCGACCCGGCGTCGACGGCGACGACGGACGCGACGAGGTCGTTGCCGGCGACGAGCACGGGCAGCAGGCCGAGGCCGCGGAGCGCCATCGGCGGCGCGGCGTGCCGCTGCCGGCAATCCCCGCCGGCGACGCGACGCGCACGCTGGCGGCTGGGCACGCAGGCAGGCAGCGCGGCGGCGCGGCAGCTCTCCCTGCGAAGAGCTGCAACCCCAGTTCATCACACCACGCAAGGGGATCTTCAAGATACTTGAAGATCCCCTTGCACCACGGCTCGTCGTTCGGTGCATCGAAGGAGCAGTGGGCTGCCCAGCCCTCGTCGTCACCCATTGTCGGCGCTGCCGACGCGCCGCCGCGCCATGCCGGAGGAGCGGAAGGAGGAGCGCACGCCCGCGGAGGAGAAGAAGCTGCTCGGCGAGGAGCAGCGCGACAAGGACATCAGCAGCGTCAGCGCCGGGCGCACCTGGTTCCACACGAAGCCCACGCGCAGCTTCGACTTTGGCAAGTGGCGCAAGTGGTGCGGCGGCGCCAGCTACCTCGAGCCCTTCGACCCGGACCGCGACTACGAGGACTTTTGGTACAGGGACGAGGTCCAGTGGCGCGACGGCCGCGGGTGGCGCTACTCGTGGCTCGCGGACCTGTACGCGTTCCCGAACTGGAGCCTGGCCTGCCACTATTTTAATGTTGGTGTTGCATTAAATTTGCTGGCGACGCCCGTGTCCTTCTACCTCGTGGAATCGCTGAACGCGTCGGCGGCCGTGACGAACACGTACGCGGCGCTCACGTACCTCCCGTGGTGCCTCAAGGTCTTCTTCGGCCTCCAGAGCGACCTCGTGCCCGTGTTCGGCACGCACCGGCGCTTCTACTACGCCCTGGGCTGGGTCATCTTCTTCCTCTGCAACTGCGAGCTCTGGCGCGAGGGCGAGCCGGGCATCGCGTCGACGCTGCTGCTGTCCTTCGTCATGACGATGGGCTGCCTCATGTCCGACACGGTCGCCGACGCCATCATCCTGGAGTGCACGACGGCCGGCGAGGCCGAGGCGGACACGGGGCGCATGCGGACCCACGGCTACCTCGTGCGCCAGGTCGGGTCCACGCTCGGCTCTTTGGGAGGCGCGGTCATCTACAACTCGAAATCCGACGGCGGCGACTGGAGCTGGGGCTTCACCATCGCCCAGTGCTTCGCGCTGCAGGCTTTGTTCGTCGGGCTGACGATCTTCCCCCTCGTGCCCTTCATGTACGAGCTGCCCGTGAAGCTGAAGGGCGACGCGAAGGCGCTCTGGCGCGACATGTGGAATTTCGTGGCGAACGACGGCGTCTGGGTGCCGCTCATGTACCTCTATTTTTACAATTTGTGCTTCGTGTCCAACCCGGCCTGGTACAACTTCCTCTACGACGGGCTGGATTTCTCGAATTTCGCCGTGGGCATGCTGTACACGGTGGGCAGCCTCCTCAGCGTCGTCGGCCTGTACGTCTACGAGAAGGTCTTCTTCAAGACGGCCTGGCGGCCGCTCTACCTGTGGGTGACGGTGATCTCCGCCGGGTTCTCCTTGCTGCAGGTGTTGCTGGTCACGGGCGAGACCTTCGGGCTGCCGAAGATCCTGTTCGCGACGGGCGACGTCTCGCTGCAGGACTTTGTGCAGATGCTGACCTTTATTCCGATGTGCGTCATGTTTTTCGCGAGCGGCCGGCGTCCCGCGGCGGTTTTCCAAGAGATGATGACGGGGGACGTCGTAGGCCATGATCCCGAAGGGCACCGAGGGCACGGCCTACGCCATGCTGAGCACGTGGCAGAACGTCGCCGCGGAAGTCGGCTACGACGTCGGGACGTCCCTGGACTGCGGCGTCAACGTGTCGAACAGCGCCCTGGAGAAGGGCAACTGGACGGGCGTGCTCAAGCTGACGATCATCTGCGGGTGCATCCAGTTCCTGCCCGTCTTCGGCATCTACGTCGAGACGCCCCGGGACAAGGTCAAGCTGCTGCCGAACGACATCGCCGAGACGACGGCGCAGTGCGAGCGCGGGCGGAGCTCGTGGTGGGGGGCCTTCGCCTTCTTTTTCTTGTTCTCCGCGTCCATCGTCGTCTCCCTCGGCCAGGCGCTCTACGTCATCTACTACCCGAACAGCTGCTAGCGCGTAAGGCGCGTCGATCGAGGACTCCCGGGGACTCAGTCGCGCTGTGACGCTGGGCCGTGGAACGGGACGCCGAACGGACTGCCGGGTCGAGCAATGGGTGCGCAGTGAGCGCCGAAGGCATGTCTCTCAACGAAGTGCGTGCACCGTCGCCAGGCGCACCGTCGCCGCACACGTCGCACGCATCGCACGTCGCCGCGAGCGAAGCGCCGACCGCGATCGCGACCGCCGTCGAGCAGCAGCCGCCGGCGCCGGCGGCAGAAACGGACGCCGCGCCGCCGCCGCACACCGCGGAAGCGCCGCCGGTGCCGTCGCCGAACACGCAGCGGCGCGCGCAGATGCTCGCCGCGATCGAGCGGCGAGGCGTTCCGGCAGAACAGAAGCGGCGTAAGCAACGGCGGCGCGGCGAGCGGCGCGAGCTGAGCGGCCTGCGCGACCACCTCAGCAGCGGTCGGCGCGACATCCACCCGGGGCTCCCGCCCGATCGGAAGCCTCCCGGGCCTCCGCGCGCGCCTCCGCCCGCGCCGCCCGTCGGCTGGGGCCGCCCGCCGCCGCCGGCCGCGCCGCCCGTCGGCGACGTCGACCGGCCGCCGCCGGAGGCCGTCGCGGCGCAGCAGCGGCTTCTCGACGCCGCGCTGCTCGCGTCCGCGGCCGAGGCCGCGGCGCCGGACGCGGACCTCGAACGCGCGCTGGCCATGTCGCTCGAGGCGAAGGGGCCGCCGGACCTCGAGCGCGCGACGGCGCTGTCGCTGGCCGCGGCGGCGGCGAGCGGCGACGCCGACGACGCGGACCTCGAGCGCGCGCTCGCCATGTCGCTCGCCGACGGCGGCGCGCCCGTGAAGCCCGAAGCCCCGAGGCCGGAGACGCCGGACGCGGCGACGGCCGCGCGCGTCGCGCAGCTCCTCGGCTTCGGGTTCTCGCGTGAGGACGCGGAGCGCGGCGCGGCGCGGTGCTCCACGGCCGACGAGGCGGTGATCTGGCTCGTCGAGGAGCGGGCGCGCGTCGACGACTGCCGCGCGGTCGACGCGGCGCGCGAGCGGTCCGAGGCCGACGCGGACGCGGCGAAGGCGCGGCGCGCGGCGCTGGCCAAAGTCGACGAGGAGGAGCTCGCCTTCGGCGTCGGCGAGAACGCGTACCGGAAGCGCGCGGCGCTCCTTGACGCTCCGGACGCCGCGGCCGTCGCCGTCTTCGGCGCGCCGGCGCTCCGGGCGCTGCTCCTCGACGACGCGAAGCCGCGCGCGCGCCGCGAGCTCCTGCGACTGCTGTCGCTCGCGCGGGACGCGGCCCGCTGGTACCCGCGGCACGCCATGGCGTGCCTCGACCGGCGGCTGCGGGCGCTCGAAGGCGACGAGGACGCGCTCCGGCTCGAGGCGGATCGCTTCTCCGACGCGCTCTTCAAGTTTTCCGGCGGCGGCGTGCCCGCGTTCTTCCTCGGCGACGCCGCCGCGGAGCCCGACGACGGCGAGGTCGAGCTGCGCCCCGCGCCGCCGCGCGACGCCGCGGACGTCATCGACGTGACTTAAGGACTTTTCTAGAGGGAGCACTCCTTTTCTGCGTCAAAGTCGATGTAGGGGACCTTCGCGATCTCCATGACGTGGTCCTCGCGCTCGAGGGCCATCTCGAGGGCCCGGTACATGCGGTTCCGCATCATCTTGTTGACCTCCTCCTTGAGGCAGTGCTTCGAGTTGAAGGTCGTGCCCGCCTCGATGTACTTGCGCCGCAGGAAGGGCGTGCCGTCGAACTTGGAGTGCGTCGGCTCGCCGTCGGGAGGGTACTCGACCTCGTTGAAGATCTCGAGGAAGTTGATGAGGTTGTGGATCTTCATCTGGAAGAGGCGCGACGTGTGGAGCTCGCTGATGACGACGCTCTGGTCCTCGGGCGGCACGCCGTCCTCGACGACGGTGACGCGGTGGCAGCTGCAGCTCTGCGTCGGCAGGGGCACGCAGCGGCAGCCCCAGATCTCGGACCACGAGTCGCCGTAGAAGACGTACATCGTCACCATGTTGAGCGCGTCGTCGTCGCAGAGGTTCGACGAGATGGCGAACATGATGTTGAGCTTGTCGAGGACGACCTTCTGGTTGCGAAAGATGCACCAGGCGTCGTAGTGCGTGTGGAACGCGAAGTGGATGATGCGCTGCTTCTTCGACCACGCGGGCGACTCAAACTCGTAGAGCGACCGCGCGCCCGTGTCCGGGCAGATGCGCACGAAGGCGCCGTCGCCGCCGAGCAGCGAGCACCAGACCGCGCCGTCGGGCGCCGTGCCGATGGCCGGGCCCGTCATCTTGCCCGTGACGTCGCAGCAGACCGGCGGGTGGGGCACGTCGACCTGCGTGCACTCGCCCGTCCGCGAGTCGATCTTGAGCACGCAGGGCTCGGCGGAGCCGACGTCCTGCGCCGTCCAGCAGTCGCAGTTCTTGTCGATGGTGGACATGGGCGGCGACGGCCGGCACTCGTAGAGGGCGCCGCCGTGCGCGTCGTCGGCGGCGGTCGGGTCGTAGTCCTTCGGGTCGACCTTCCAGATCGCGAAGCCCTCGGGCGGCGGCGCGTTGTAGCCGAGCGCGTCGAGCTTCGTCATGCGGTCCGCCAGCAGCTTCGGGTTGCAGCAGACGCGCTGCTTCGCCTTGACCAGCGCCGGCGCGTCGGGGTCCGCGCCGTTTTTGGCCGCGTTGTCCGGCGTCTCCGCCGGGTGGCAGGCGATGGACCCCTTGAGCGCGACCCAGATGACGCCCGTCTGGCCGCACTCGCGGATGCAGTGGGGCCCGCCGACGCGGACGGCCGTCTTGTCCGGCCGGACGAGCAGCGTCGGCACCTTGAGCATGTGCTTGATCTTCATCGTCGCCGCCTCGATGAGGAAGACCTCGTTGCAGAACTGGAGGCTCACCCAGAGGTGGCCCGGCCACTTGGCCGACAGCGACAGGTTGTGCAGGCCGCCGAGGCCGTCGCCGTTCTCGCCCACGGGGCCGACGTGCCACGCGTCCTGGTCGTCGAGGAGCATGCCGCCGGGGCAGACGGGGATGCGCACGAGCACGCTGTTGGACATCTGGCTCACGAAGACGCACTTCGTCACGGGCTCGTAGACGACCTCGTGCGTCTGCTCCGCCCGCGGCACGCGGACCTCCTTGAACAGGACCTCCAGGTGCTCCGAGAGCTCCGGGTCGAAGTATTTAAACGCCGGCGGCTCGTGCTTGAAGGCGCCGAGGGCCCACAGCGCCTGGTTGAAGCCGTTCACGCCCCTCACCTCGCCCGCGGCTTTCAGCTCGGGTTCGCCTTCGCGCTGTTTGTTCGCCTTCGCGAGAGCGCCGCCGCTGGGCGCGTGGGTGATGGAGGCGCGGACGTTACCCCAGCCGCGCTTCTTCTTGGGCGCCGGTGCTTTCGCTTCCTCCTTTTTCTCCGGAGGCGCCAGCTCCGCCGGCTTGTCGCCGGTGGACTCGTTGGCCAGGCGCAGTTTCAGCTCCGAGTTCTCTTCCAAGAGCTTCGCGATGGTGCGCGCGAGGCATCCGACGACGACGGCGGCGGCCGTTGCCACGACGGCGACGCGCGATCGATCTTCGACCATCGCGGCGAGAACCCACCCAGGGGCAGCCTTGGCATCCTTGGCGTCACCGAGCATGTACCGAGCCGGCTTGTCGGTCGACTCGTCGTTCTAAGTTGCCTGAGGCCTCGACACTCTCGCTCGTCCGCGCCCAACGATGTCCTTGGCCCCGTCGCTCTTCGCCAGCCTTGGCCTGAACCGCGAGCGGTCCGGGTCGATCCAGTCCAACGCCCAGGTCGCGTCGCCCTTCGGCGGCGGCGCGTCCTACGGCGCCCCGCCGCCGCCGCTGTCCGGCGACCGCTACGGCGGCGGCTTCAGCGAGCTGCGGCGCCGGGGGGCCCGGGAGCCCGCGAGCGGCACGCCCCTGGGCCGGTCCCTCGTCGACTCGCTCGCGCGCAGCGACCTCGCGCGGACGCCCGCGAGCGCGCTCAGCTACCGGGGCGCGCCGGCGGCGCCGCCGTCCGCGGGCGCGCCGCCCGTCGCGTCGCTGCTCGACGACGACCGCGCGGACCTGGGCAGCAACCTCTTCTCGCCCGAGCTCGCGGCGTCGCCGGGCGCCCAGCCCATGGAGCTGGCGTCGCCGGACGCCGGCGGCGGCGTCTTCTCGCCGCGGCGCGCGTCGCACGGCGGCGGCGGCGCCGACTACTTCTCGCCCGCGGCGCCGGCGCCCGGCGCCTTCGCGGAGCCGCCGCCGTCCTTCTCCTTCCGCGACGAGAACGAGCGGCTCCGCTGCTGGATCGTCGTCTTCGGCTTCGACGCGCGCGCGGAGCCCCGCGACGTCCTCGACGCATTGTCCCGCTACGGCGAGATCCTCGAGCACGAGGTCGGCCGGGGCAACTGGCTCTTCCTGCGCTACGCGACCAAGTGGCAGGCCGAGAAGGCGTTGGCGCAGTCGGCCATCGTCCTCGACGGCGCCGCGGGGCCGGTCGTCGTCGGCGCGCTCCGGCTCACGCCGGACGTCGCGGCGCGCTTCGGCATGCACAGCGCGCGCGGCGAGGCGCCCGCGGCCGCGGCGCCGCCGGCGGCGCCGGCCATCAAGACCAAGAGCGACCTCATGCTCCACCCCAAGCTCCGCGCGTCCCAGCTCAAGCGGCGGGGCTGCTGCGAGAAGCTCATGGCCTTCCTCTTCTCCGTGTAACACAGTCACGCATTACCGACCATGGACAGGCGCCGCACGGCGCCCCCGGACATGTCCTCCCTCGAGAGCCGGTCCCGCGCCTGCTCGAGCTCCTCGAGCTTCCGCCGGAGGTCCGCGATCTCGAAGTCCACGGCCGCCGCGGTCCGCCGCGGCGAGTCCGACAGCGCGGTCACGGGGCTCGTCGACGTCGCCGGCGCCTCGCCCTTGAGGCGTCTCTCCAGGTCGACCAGTAATTCCTCGACCTCGCGGCGCGTGACCGCGCCGCCGTCGCGCTCGGGCTCGCAGACCGACTGGAACGCGTCCGTGTCCGCGCGGACCTGGGACCCGTCGAGGTCCTTGGCGTCGATGCCGTGGGCCGTCCTTAACTCCTCGTGGAAGGCGTTGGACCCCTCCTTGTGGAGCGTCCGGATCTTCCGCATCTTCGGGAAGTCGATGGGCCGCGGCGGCTCCCGGAGCTGAGCGCGCGCCGCGGCCTCCGCGTCGTGGTACGTCGCGGAGAAGGCGCCGTCGAGGGGCGCGAGCTTCGGCGCGCGCTTGGCGCCCGCCTCGTCGTCGGACGGCGCGTCGTCGAGGGAGCTTCGGGGGAAGGCGTCGCGCTTCTCGGGCGGCGGGATCCGCATCATACCCAACTCCTTGAGCCGGGCGACGTACTTGGACCGCTCGTCCGGACTCGGGCGCACGTAGCCCGGCCGCATGCGCGCGGCCTTGACGACGAGCTTGATGTGGCGCTGGAAGGTCATGTACAGCACCCGCAACCGGATCATGGACCGCGTCCGCGGGAACCGGCTCTCCGCGAGGATGGCCCGCAAATCCTCCTTGTGGAGCACGTGGAGGTCCGAGAAGGTCGCGCAGATGGCGCTGTAGTCGCGCCACTGGCCGTCCCTAATCATCTCCTCGCCGAAGAACTTGCCGCAGGAGAAGGGCACGCCGCGGACGCCGACGATCCCTCTTCGGACGATGTACATCGCGTCCGCGCGCTCGCCGACGCGGACGATGCACTCCATGCGGTTGAAGGCCGACACCTTGAGGTGCAACGCGACGGCCGTGACGAAGCGCGCGCGCTCGTTGATGTCGGGGCAGTTGAAGAACCAGATCTGGTGGACCCAGACGCCGCAGAGCTGCTGCGCGAAGACGCCCCTCAGCTCCGGCGACAGCATCGCGAGCAGCTTCCGATAATAATCCTGGCGGAAGTGCAGCTCCGTCGCCGTCAGGTAGCGCCGCGCGCGGTCCGCCGTCTCCTCGTCGAGGCCCAGCTCCCTCATGTAGGAGTCGAGCAGGTCCGAGATCGCGTTGAATTCCGTCGTCGCCGGGTCCATGTTCGTGACGACCGCGGAAATCACCCCGATGATGTAGGCGTAGAGCGCGCCCATGACCAGCGCGACGACGAGCCAGACGCCCTGCTCGAAGGTGTTCGTCGGCTGGGCCCGCGCCTGGTCCATGACCATCGTCGTGATCGCGTACTCGAACGACTGGACGTAGAGCGCGAGCGGCCGGTCGCCGCGGCCCGCGAGGTGCGTCGAGTCCGGGTCGCCCGTCCAGCCGTGGCGCTCGTGCTGCAGCGTCGGGAGGAGCGCCCAGACGCAGGCGACCCAGTGCAGCGACACGAGGGAGATGATGCCGAACTTGAGCAGCGTGAGCGACGAGTTCCGCATGCGGCCGACGCCGTGCGTCAGCAGGTAGGAGAAGAAGCGGCTCGGCGCCGCGCCCCACCAGGCGCAGGTGCGCCGGTTCGCGTCGTTCGTCTCGCCGCCGCGCTCGCGGAGCCGCTTCACGAGGCGGGGCACGCGGGACGTCCGCGCGAGCTCGATCAGCCGCAGAGCCTGTGTGGAATTCAAATCTTCAACCCGACTTCAATGTGCGCGTAATTGAACGGATTGCGCCGGACTCTTTGGCTGAGCTTCGAGAACTCGACGAGAGCAATCGATTCGTCCAAAAATCAGCCGAATCGACTTCGACTTGATCGAGCTAGAGAGTTCTGAAGTTTGGTCAGGACCACCCAAACCAGTGGTTGAATTCCACACAGCGCAGCGCCCGCGAGTAGCGCCGCGCGCGCGTCCCGAGCCCCGAGTTCTGCGACGACAGGAAGGCGCAGATGACGCGCCAGGGCAGGATCGACAGCGCGTCTATCAGAAAATGGCTCTTGACGTAGCGCTCGACGATGAACTGGGGTTCGAAGACCCACATGCGCACGGTGTCCTCAAAGTACGCGAGCACGAACTGGACGCACGTGTCTAATACAAAAATCGCGTAGACGATCCAGTTCGTCGCGTTGAAGAGGCGCGGCAGGTGGTGGAGCTCGCCCACGGGCCGCTCGTGGTACCGCGTGACGCCGACCTCGAAGGGCGTGATGATCGCGGCGTACATCATCGCGAAGCTCAGCAGCACGTCCCAGCCCGACGCCGCCAAATCCCCGGGCGTCACGACGAACCAGGGCCGCACGACCGTGCCCGCCGTCGCGCCCGCGGCCTGCATGATGGGCTTCCGCAGCTTCCAGTAGGCCTCGCACCGCGGGAGGTGCTTGCCCTCGACGACGGCGACGCCCACGACGGTCTGGCCGCTTTTCGTGGATTGGCGGTCGCCGGTTTCCGTTAATAGCGGTAAATCGACGACCTCCTGGTTCGCGGTCCAGACGTCGGCGCCCTTCATCACGACCGCGCCGAGCAGATCGTCGCTGCCCATGAGGTCCGCGTCCCAGACCTGGGCAGGACAAGAGAGATTCAACGTCGCTTCAACGTGAGTGTTCCGCCGCGCGCGCGTTCCGGAAAAAGCATCCACGCTTCGAGACCGCTCCGAGAGATGATCGCTCGTCCAAAAATCAGCCGAAACGAGCGGAAAACGGCCGAGATTGGAGCCTTTGAAGTTGGGAATTTCGCTCTCTTGTCCTGCCCTGTCCCAGACCGTGAGGCGGATCTCCGTCGCCGCGGTGACGTTCCCGAGGCAGAAGGCCTGGCTCCAGCAGGGGTGGCACGTGCCCTTGATGCGCCGCGTCTTCGCGACGAGCTCGCCGTCGACGTGGACCTTGCAGTACGGGTCCGACCGGCCGTTCCAGTCCTGCGACGGCAGGTTCGTCGCGCCCCCGACGTGGACGAACCACTCGCGCCGCCGCAGCTTCTCCGCCGTCGTGTCGACGGCGCGCTGCTCGAGGCCCGGGCCGTCCCGGTGGGGGCCCGTGCGCTCCCCGTCCCGCGGCGGCTCGACGCCGATGGTCGCCGCCCGCTCGAAGGTCGGCACGATGCTGATGGTCGGGGCGCTCGACCGCCGCCGCCGGGGCAGGTCCTCGCGCGTGGGCGAGTCGTCGCCCATGCTCGGCGCGTACTTGTGGGCCATGGGCGGGCAGGGCAACTAGAGGTCCATTCCGGGCTGCGCGGGCCGCTATTGCGTACGACAAGGCCGACGCCGACAAATGGTAAAGATCGCATCCATGACGATGATGCCGTCGTTCTGGAAGCCTCACGATTGGCTCTCTTCCGCGATGGCGTCCTCGGGGCTGCTTCTCGCCGCTCTGGCCGTCGTCGGCGCCGCCGCCGGCGATCCGCGCGAGCTCGCCGGCGGCCTGACCATCGGCAACATCACCTCCGGGTACAGCGACCAGCCGAACTGCCTCGTGCGCAAGGACGGCGCCTGGCTGTGCACGGTCACCTACAACGACGAGCCCGAGGGCTCGGCCGGCGAGCACGTCATCACGACGATCTCGACGGACCGCGGCCTCACCTGGAGCGAGCGCTACCCCGTCGAGCCCGAGTCCAAGATCCAGCACGCCTACTCGACGCTCTTCCAGGGCCCCGGCGACGCCGTCTACGTCGCCTACGTCGAGAACTCGGACAACGTGACGACGCTCAACGGCGACTACGCCCCGCGCGAGGACATGTACGGCCACTTCTGGCTGCGGCGGTCGCTCGACGGCGGCAAGACCTGGGGCGGCGCCGCGGAGCGCTGGGAGATCCCCGTGCGCGAGACGAAGATCGACCGCGAGAACTCGTGGCGCGGGAAGGTGCGCATCATGTGGGCCGTGGACAAGGGCTTCGAGTGCCCGAAGCACGGCGCCTTTCTGGCGTTCGCCAAGGTCGGGACGTACGTCGTGGACCCGCCGACCGAGGCCTGGCTGCTGAATTCGAAGAACCTCGCGACGGCCGAAGATCCCGCCGACGTCGAGTGGACGCTGCTCCCCGAGGGCGACGAGGGCATCCGCTACTGGGAGCCGTCGGCGCCGGGCATCTCCGAGGAGGGGCACGTCGTGCCCATGGACGACGGCGCTCTCTATTACGTCTTCCGGACGGACGCGGGCGTGCTGGGCGGCCGCGCGTCCTACGACGGCGGAAGGACCTTCGCGGACCCGACGAAGACGGGCGCGGCGGTCTACGCGGACGGGAGCGTCGTCAAGAACCCGCGGGGCCCGATCACGCCGCGCGCCGTCGACGTGTTGGGCGGGACGACGGCGTACGTCTTGCTCTACTACAACAACGGCGGCAGGGACTTCAACGGGCGCAACCCCTACTGGCTCGCGCCGGGCTGGCAGGCGAACGGCACCGACGGCGCCACCGTCGTCTGGGGCGAGCCCGAAGTCGCGCTGTTCTCGACCGTCGCGGCGGACCGCATCGGCTACCCGGACTTTATCGTCGACGCGGAGGAGGAGGCGCTGTACATTTCGGAGACGGAAAAGGTGCACTGCCGCATGCACAGGGTGCCCGACGCCGTGCTGGACCTCCTCTTGCGCCAGCGCGACTTCGCGGCGAAGACGCCCGGCGCCGCAGCGACCTTCGGCGCCGTGGCCGCGGGCGCGACGGCGACACAGCCCGCGGCGACGGTCCTCGACGCCGGCTTCGCGATCGCCGTCCGCCTCGCCGGCGCGCTGCCGTCGGGGACGAGCGTCCTCTTCACCACGCTGAAAGCGGCGGCCGCGGCCGACGGCGGCTCCGTGGACGGCGGTCTGCGCCTCGCCAAGGGCCTCGTGCAGGACACGGTCACGCTCGACGTCGGCCACCTGTCCCCGGCCCACCTCGAGATCCCCTTCCGCTTCGTCTTGGATCGCCAGTGCGCCGAGAAGCTCGCGGCGCCCGGCGCGCATTTTTTTGCCGTCTCCGCCGATCCCGCCTCTCGCGTCCTGAGCGCCTTCGTCGACGGCAAGCTCTGCGACGGCGGCAAATACCAGACGCAAGGCTGGGTCGCCATGCCGACGGGCGCGGACGACCCGATGCAGCACGCCCCCGGCGCGGCGGACGCGACGGTCGGGCCCGCGCTCGTCGGCGTCGACGAGGTCCGCTTCTTCGACCGCTACCTCAAGACGACGGAGATGCTCGGCGACTACCGCGCGGGGCTCTAGTTTAGGTTTAAGTTGCCCTGCAACCACTTCAAGGACCCAGCTCGTTGACTTTTGAGAGGCGAGGTGTTTCAAGAAACCTGCGCTGGTCTGCGCCAGCGCTGCCGTCCTTCCTGCAACCACTTCGGCAAGCAGCTCGTTGACTTGTGCGAGGCGAGGTGTGGCAAGAATTCGCCTGTGCTGCCGTCCTTGCACGCAACGCGACGAAAATATGCGGCACCGCTTCATCTCAGCGTGCCTCTTCGCCGCGACGCTCACCGAGGCCGTCACGACGCGCGAGCGCGTCAAGCGCATGGTCGCGGAGCAGTTCGACCAGCAAGTCCTCGGCAAGACCCCTGAGCAGCGCAATATCGAACCCCAGAGCATCAAGGTCATCGGCGCCGGCTTCGGGCGCACGGGCACGGACTCGCTCCGCGAGGCGCTCAACGCGCTCAACTATAAGACGTACCACATGGAGGAGTGCATGAAGGGCTTCCACGGCGCGGAGATCAAGGCGTTCATGGACGGCGACCGCGCGGACGGCGCGCCGTTGGCGAACATCTTAGCCCGCGAGGGCTACAACGCGTCGCTCGACTGGCCGATGAGCGTCTTCTACGAGCAGCTGATGGCGTTCAACGAAAGCGCCAAGGTGATCCTGACCGTTAGAGATTCCGCCGAAGTCTGGGCCAAGAGCTTCATCTCGACGATCGGGAATCGCATTCGCGTCCCCGGCGAACGGAACTTCGCGCGGCCGCCCTTCGCGCTCTTCCGTCCTTTCGTCGACCTGCTCGACATGTGCGTCCGCATGTACGAGTTGCTGGGCATCGACTTCGACGAGTCCGGCGACGCGAACGAAGCGTCGGCGATCGCGGCCTACGACGCGTGGATCGCCAAGGTCCGGGCGACGGTGCCCGCGGACCGGCTCCTCGTCTTCAACGTCAAGCAGGGCTGGGCGCCTCTGTGCGAGTTCCTCGGGGTCGCGGACTGCCCGGAGGAGTTCCCGCACAGCAACGCGGGCGCGAACCTCGTCCACGAGTTCAAGATGGCGGGCTACATCGCCGACGCGTTCTTCCCGACCGTCGCGCTGCTCGCGCTGTCGGTGGCGTACTGCCTCAAGCGCTAAGAAGATTGCACATGGCCTTATCGTCCTCGTGGACGGAGCGCCGAGTGACGGAGCGCCGAGTGACATAGCAGTGTAGAATTACATGGCCCTGTCGTCCTCGTGGACGGAGCGCCGCGTGCCGTGGCGCCGCGCGTAGGCGGGCTTGAAGCCGACGCCGAAGGTTTCGACGGGCGCGTCCCAGGAGCCGCGGCGGAAGTCGAGGAGCGCCGCGTCGACGACGTGCTCCGCCGCCGTGGGCTTGAGGCCGAGGATCGTCGCGATCGCCGCCCGCGCGGCGTCGACCGCGGTGGCGTTGCGGAGGACGCCGACGAGCTGCTCCTTGCAGCGGTCCGTGCAGCTGAGCGCGAGATCGAAGACGGCCTCGACGGCGCCCTCGACGGCCGCGAAGTCGCCGGCGATGGCCGCGTCGATGGTGATGTTGCAGAGCACGCCCGCCGCGGCCTCCTTCTTCGCCCAGTCGTGGTCCTCGCGGAGCGCGTCGAGCAACCGGCGGAAGACGCCCGGGCACGCGGCGACCGTCGCCTTGTTCTTCGCCGACACCGTGAGGTTCCAGAGCGCCGACAGCGCGGCCGTCGCGAGCTCGCCGTCGTCCTCGTTCGTGAGCCGCACCAGCGCCTCCAGGAGCCAGGGCACGCGCCCGATCCGCGCCTCGACGTAGTCGTCCTTCGCCAGGTTCCCCAGGCAGAGCGCCGCCTGCGCCCGGCCCTTGTCGTCGCCGTCGAGCACGAGCGCCGCCAGAGGCTTGAGGGCGACGGCGGCGATGCGGTCCCGCGCGGCCGGCAGGACGCTGAGGTTCCGCAGCGCGCCCGCGGCGTGCTCGCGCGCGGCCGGCGTCGCGCCTTTCACGACGAGCTCCGCGAGCGCGAGCGTGAGGTCGTGCTCCTTGCCGATGCGCGCCCGGCAGCGCGCGTCGACGCTCAGGTTGCGCAAGCACCCCGCGGCCTGCGCGCGGCAGCCGGCGCCGCGGTCCGTCTTCGTCACGATCGCGCACAGGGGCGGGATCGCGCCGGCCCTCGCAATGTCGAGCTTCTTGTCCTTGCGGGCCCAGCAGCGCAGCGCCATGGCCGCCTGGGCGACGCAGGCCTCGTTGTCGCTGCGCAGGAGCGCGCAGAGCGGCGCGAAGTCGTTGCCGTCGCGCGCGGCGTCCGACGCGTGTTCGAGCTTCCGGGCGTCGAGGCCGACGAACTCGACGCGCGCGTCCGCCGTCGGCGTCGGCGGCACCATGTAGGCGCCCCATTGGTCGTCGTCGTCGTCGTCGTCGAAGTTCGGGATGGCGTGGCGGCGCTGCTTGTCGTCGCCGTCGTCGAGGCTCTGGGCGACGACGCAACTCGGCGACGCTGCGCGCGCCTCCGTGCCCGAGGCGAAGGTGACGACCTTGTGGCCCGTCGCCGTTTTGCTCTTGTGGGAGATGGCCATGGCGTGGGACTGGATTGCGAGTGCGGTTGCTTGGCTTTCGGCTGCCCGATCATCATGCTCTCGGCGCCCGATTCCTGGCACGCCCGAAACCCCGAAGTGCAACCAGGTTCTTGAAGCGCTTTGCGGTGAAAGAGCTTAGCGAGTCTCGCCCGCTCAAATCCCTCCGCGTCGGCGACGATTGTGACCGGCGCCCCCCCAGATTATGGTCAACGATGCGCGCGATTCGGCGGAGACCGCCGCGAGCGACGACCCGTCGGCGCTCGGCACGAAGGGCGACCTCGAGCGGCTCCGCACCGAGAACAGCGGCGAGTTTCGGGAGGAGCTCGAGCGCGCGAACGAAGAGCGGCTCTATGAGAAGGCGGACGCGTCCTACTACTTTCGCGTGCAGACGATGCTCATGTACGATCCGTTGACCGCGCGGACTCTGGCGAACTTCGTCGCGGTCCTCGTCCTCATCGTGCTGCAGGTCTTCAGCTTGACCTGCATCCAGCAGATGTCGTGGCTCGCGAGCGAGTGGGCCCGACTCGTCGAAGAGTACGACATCGACGACGAAAGACTGCAGAGCGCGTACCGCGCGGGCCTGCCGTACCCGAGCAGCTTCCACGACCTCCTTGAAGGGCACGACTCGGTGTACCTGGGCCTGCCGCTCCTGATCATAGGGCCCACGATCCTGTGCGGCCTCGCGGTCTCGCTCCTCACGCTCTCGGGCGAGGTCGAGCAGCTCAAGGCCGGCTACCTGATGATGCGTCGCGAGTGGATCCTCGCGGACCCCGCGGCGACGCGGCCGCGCGCCGCGGAGCGCGCGTTCCGCATCGGCGCGTGCTCGCTCATTTCCATACTTCGCGCGTCGCTCGTGTGGTTCTACTTCGACATCGTGGGCCTCATGATGGGCTCCGCGGACGGTCCGTTCAACCTCCTCCTGAACGCGCTCGCGATGGGGTTCATCCTCGAGCTCGACGACGTCCTGCAGCCGGACCTGCCCTCGCAGAATTTCTTCGGGGTCAACCACCCGCGCCTCTTCCAGCTCTATGAGGAACGGACGGCGCGCGCGCGCGCGACGCTCGCGGCGGCCGCGCGCGTCGCCCGAGCCGCGCCCGCGGGACTCCGGCGGGCGTACCACGCCTGCAACTGGATCACGCCGACGGTCGTCGTCGTCGCGGTCATCGCGAACGCGTGGCTCCTCCAGAAGGCCACTTCCAAGGGCACGCTCATGACCTTCGACGACGAATCGAAAGACTTCGGCGGGCGCCGCGAGACCATGACCCTCACGTACAACTGGATGCTCTACGTGCTCCTCCTCGCGCTCCTCGTCGACGTACAAGTCTGCATCCTCTGCGGCTGCCGCGACGTCTTCGACGACGCCGGCGTGGGCCGCGCGAAGCAGGTCGCGCTCGCCGCGCTCTACCTCTGCGTGGACGCGTGCGGACTGCTCGTCATCCGGCACGTCGCGATTCGCTGGGCCATCGGCGGCCTCTGGACCTACGGCATGAGCGCCGAAACGTTGGGCGATCGGTTCTGGAAGCGCGTGGATCCCGCGCCGAACCGGCCCGACGAGAAGTCCTACTTACTCAAGTAGGCTACTACTACGGCTACGCGGACGGCGCCTACGGCGCCTACGGCGCCTACGACGCGTACGGCGCGTGCGAATAAACCACCCGGCGGTTGCGCGCCGGATCACCCCGGAAACTCACTGGCTCTCCGTGGCCAGCCCAGGCGTAAGTAGACCACCCGGCGGTTACGCGCCGGACCCCCCAAAAAAGAGTCACTGGCTCTCCGTGGCCCAGGTGGCCTTGCGCGTCCGCGTGGAGCGCTTGCCGTCGGCGACGGTGATGTACTTGGCCTCGACGGAGCCCGGCTTGTAGTCGATGATGACCTTCGGGTGGCCCGGCGCGTCGGGCACGAGGAGCGTCGTGATCTCCTCCTTGAGCTGCTCGAGGCCGTGGGGCAGCGAGTCGAGGATCGCGGAGACGTTCGCGTTCATCTCGCCCTGGGCCTCCGCCTGCGGGACGCAAAATATTCGACACGAATTCAGCGTATTCGAACGATTCTGGCACAGTCCTTTCGTTGTCTGCCAACGACTCGACGAGAGAAAACGATTCGTCCAAAAATCAGCCGAATCGACCTCGATTTGACCGAGATCGAGAGGTTTGAAGTTTCGCCGGACCGGTCGTTTCCGGCGCGGGCCTCCGCCTGCAGCGCGACGGCGATGACGTTCTTCTTGGGGCCGAAGCCCGTGGCGTAGTCGAAGACGATGCACTGGCGCAGCTTCACGTGCTCGCGGAGCTCGCTGCAGCCCATGACGTTGAACTTGGCGTCCAGGATGTTCTTCCGGTGGCCCCGGCCGGGCACGCCGTCGTCGACGAGGAGCCAGAGGACGATGTTCCGCGCGCCGGAGAAGCCGAGGGAGATGTTCTCGCCGCAGGACCCCCACCACTCGCCGTAGGCCTCGATGCGCGTCTGCACCGTGGACCCGTCCGTGCCGCCGTGGTCCATGCCGCCCGAGTAGCCGAGGTCCGCCGCGTGCCGCTGCGCGGCGCCGCTCAGGCCGGCCTCCAGCGTCAGCGCGCCGCAGGGCTCGTGGGCCGCCAGGGCCTGGAGCAGGTCCTCGACGGGCGCCGCGCCCTCCTGCGTGAGCAGCACCCGCGCGGTCGTGTTCGTGCCGCCGTCGTCGCGGTACCGTTTGTCGTCGAAGCGCGCGAGCATGGGCCTGACACGCGTCTCCGCGTACTCCAGGGGCTTCGCGCGCGCCAGGTTGTGCTCCGCGCAGAGCTCGGCGCGGAAGGCGTCCCAGTCCCGCTTGCTCGCCTCGGGCGTCGCCTCGGGCGCCGCGCCGCTCTCCTTCTGCTCCAGGGCCGCGCTCTTGGCCGACTCGACGAGCATGGCCGCGCGCGACGCATCCTGCAGGTAGAGCGCCGTCAACGCCTCGAGCGCCTGCGTGTCCGACGCCTCCTGCACGACCTGCTGCGCCGACGACGCGCCGGCGCCCATGGTGCCGGCAGCGCCGCGCGGAAAGCAGCTCTGTTTGAGATTGCATAAAACGCCCACTTTGATATGTGAAATTTTTATTGAACATTCAAAAACCACTGAAGTATGGCCTCGTACCCGATGGAGCCCGCCGCGCCGGACGTCGAGGGCGGGCGCGAGCGGAAGGACTCCTTCGGCGACCTGAGCGAGAGCGGCGAGCCGCCGACGCCGTCGCCGTCGCCGCTCCCGACGCACCGGCGGGCGCGGTCCCTCAACTCCATCACGCTCATGCGGTCGCCGGCGAAGCAGCCCTCGACCATCGTCACGCGCGGCGGCGCCTCGGCGCGGCGGGCCCGCTCCGACGAGCGCGGCCCCGGTGGCAGCCCCGTCGGGCGGCGCAGGTCCTTCGTCGAGGAGTCGCGCGACGTCTTGCGGGATTACGCCGAGGACGTGCGGTGGTCGCTGCACGAGTACGCGGGCCGCTGCGGCGCCTGCTGCCGCGTGAACACGGAGACGGTCGTCCGCGTGCGGCGGAGCCTGCGCTGGTACGGGTCCGCGGCGAACCTGTCGAACGAGACGATGACGCCCGAGACCTTCGCGGACACGGTCGCCATCGACGACAAGCGCTGCGATTTGCTGGACTCGAGCCGGCGCATGAACCCCGTGGATCTGGTCTGGCGCCTGGACCTCGCGCTGACGGCGTCCATCGTGCCGCGCGTGCTCTCGACGTGGGTCGCGCGCTTCGTGCTCGGCGTCTACGTGTCGGCCGCGGTGCTGAAGCGCGGCGGCGCGGTCGGCGACAAGGAGGGCGACGGCGACTCGACGGTCGTGAAGCTCTCGATTTTCGTCTCCTTCATCATCGTCTTCTACTCGAACCACTGCTACACGCGCTTCTACCGCCAGTACGAGGCCGTGAAGATCTGCTGCCGGACGATCTCCGACGTCGTCTCCACCGCGAGGGCCTACAGCGACGCGGCCATCCCCGTCGCCGAGGCGCTCGACGACGACGACGTCGACCGGCCCCCGGCGGGAAGGCTGCCCATCGCGACGGCGGAGAAGCTCTACCGGTACCTCAACGCGGCGCACTGCGCGGGCTACTGCGCGCTGACACCGACGTACACGCGCAAGAACCTCTTCGAGCCCTTCGTGCGCCGCCACGGCCTCTTGAGCGCCCGCGAGAAGCGCGCCTTCTCCGCGCAGAAGCTGTCGACGGAGGACGCGAGCGGCGAGGCGTTCCACGAGTTCGTGCTCTGGGCGCTCGCCGCGCTGTCCGCGGCGCACCAGCGGGGCGAGATCTCGAGCCCGAACGAGATGGTCGCGCTCCAGGAGATGGTCATCCTCTTCCGCGGGTCGATGCAGACGCTCTTCGACGAGCGCTTCCAGGAGATCCCCTTCGCCTACTCGCACCTCGTGTCCTTCGTCTGCGCCTGCTACCTCCTCGTCCTCGCCGTCGACATGGGCCTGAAATTCGGCGCGTCGTCGTCGATCACCGCGGGCCTCTTCTTCCCGTGCCTGACGGTGCTCTTCACGACGATCGTGCTCCTGGGGCTGCTGACCGTGGGCAAGGCCATGAGCCAGCCGACGGGGCTGGACCCGGAGGGGTTCCCCATCTTTTCCTACATCGACTCGACGGCCCTCGCGAGCCGCAAGATCCTGGACTCGCACCGCAAGGCGCCGCCCGACGAGCCGGACGCGCCGCCGCCGCCGAAGCGCCGCTCGACGTCGAACCCGCCGCCGAAGCTCCGCGACGGCGCGGGGCTGGCGTAACGTTTGCCTTGGTGGGAATCGCAGCTTAGTATTGTAGTAGTTCATGTAGCATTGGTTTACCCATCAGTGAGCTACCAGGGCTGCAGGCCGAGCGCGCCCGCCGTTCACAAAACTCACACGGTTTCGCCACAGCAAACCAAAAAATTCGAGTTAATAACCCTCTCGCTCGCGTCTGTCCGAGTCGGTAGAAGCCCCCCGCCCCCCCCCCCCCCCGCACGCTCGCCGCGCTTCGACGCCCTGTTCCGCTCCTCGATTGCGAGAACAAATGGTCACGACGCGCGGCGACCGCCGCCGCTACGAGGAGAGCCCGGAGGGCCAGGCCGAGGCGGCCGCCGCGGCCGCCGCGGCGGTCGCCGAGGACGACCGCCGCTCCGCGGCCGCCGCGCACGCCGCGCTCGTCCGCGACTCGATCCGCACCGGCGACCTGCGGGCCCTCGAGGGCTACCTCGCCGCGGGTACGGATCCGAACTTGCCGGGCGCGTGCGAGTGCGGTTTCTCGCTCCCCGGGACCGTGCGCAAGGGATACCTGTTCCCGGGGTGCTTCTGCATGCCCACGCTGCGCTACGGCTTCAAGCGGCCCGCGCGCGGCGACCGGCCGCCGCTCATGGTCGCGGCCGAGTACGACGCGGCGCCGGCCGTCGCGACGCTCGTCGCCGCCGGCGCGGACGTCGACCACAAGTTCGAGGGGACCACCGCCGTCAAGGTGGCGGCGTCGCGCGGCCACGCGGCGGCGCTCGAGGCCCTGCTCGCCCACGGCGCGGATCCGACCTTCAAGCCGATCGCCGGGCGGACCGCGCTCTGGGACGCGGCCGCGGGCGGGCACGCGCGGTGCATCGACCTGCTCCTCGACGCCGGCGCGCGCGACCTCAACACTCGCAGCCTGTTCAGCTACACGGCGCTTTGGATCGCGCTCCTCCACGGCCACCTCGAGGCGACGCGGACGCTCCTCCGGCGAGGCGCGACGATCCACCGGCACCTCGCCGGCCACCTCGGACCGGCGCCGCGCTGGGAGACCCCGATGACCTTGGTCGCGGACCGGCTCCGGAAGGAGGCCGAGCGGCGGGAGCAGTACGGTCGCTACTTCAAGTGGGGCGAGAGTCCCGAGACCTTGGACGCCATGCGCGCGTGCGCGGACCTCGTCTCCGACGCCTTGGCCGCGGCTGGTGGCTCCTGGTCCGCCACGCGGCGCATCGTCAAGTACTGGCCCCTCGGGCCGAACAAGCATTTCCCCTCGGAGGATTTCGTCTCGTACTGGTCGGGCCCCGACGGCAGCTCCACCGTCTGGCCGAGCTACGTCCGCGCGGCGCGCGCGCGGCTCGTCGCGCTCCGCGCCCTCTGCGCCGCGGGCCGCGCGCGGCCGCTCGCGTCGGCGCCCAGCGAGCTCGCCTGGATCTTCGCGGCGCACGACGACGGCGCCGCCGACGAACCCGCCGCCAAGAAGCCGTCGCGCGGCGCCCAGCTCCCCGACCCGCTCTTCCGCCGCGTCGTCCTCTACTGGCTCTAGACCACTCCCCCACATCCCTGATAACGGGACTCTGACGACGCGGTGCCGGAGGCGCGCAATTTGGTCCGCGCGTCAACATCGACCTTGCACTTGGAACCGTGCGGCGAGCAAAACACATCGACAGCAATCGTCGACTCGGCTCGACCTTCGCGGCGCCGGTTGTCGCCTAGCCAGCTCCTCGGCTGCGCGGCGGACGCAGCCGCACGAGTCGCGCCAGCGCCTCAGCGACCCGCGCGCGCCGCGGCATGTGGCGCGCCGCGACGCTCGGCTGCCTCCTCGCGGCCAGTGTGTCCTCCTTCGCGCCGGCGCCGCAAAGACGACACGCCATGGCGCTCCACATTTCGGACGCGGGCGACCTCATCGCCAAGTTCGAGCGCGACAATGGCGGCAAGGTCTTCGAGAAGCTCGTCGAGTACCCCTGCGAGTTTACGATCAAGGTCATCGGCAAGCACGAGGACAGCTTCGCCGGCGACATGGTCGGCTACATCTCCAAGACGGTCGACGTCGCCCCGGAGAAGATCAAGTTCACGACGACGCCGAGCGGCAAGGGCACCTACACGTCCGTGACCATCGAGGCGCCCGTCGCGTCCGCGGACCAGCTCTACGAGTGCTACGCGGTCCTCCGCAACGACCCCCGCGTGCGCATGGCCCTCTAGGAAGGGCGATGTCGCGGCGCGCGTAAGCCGCGCCGTCCCTGTTGTTGCGCATGACACCCGGTCGCTCCTTTTTACGCCGCGCGCCCTAGCACTTCATGGCCTTCCTCGCCTTGAGCTTGTCCTTGAGGGACGGCGCGCGCTTCGCCGCGGGCGCCGCGGCGACGACCTTCGGCGCGGCCTTGGGCTTCTTGGCCTTCTTCTCCGCGGCGGCGGGCTTCGCGTCGTCGCGCGCGCGCTTCGGCGCCGGCGGCGGCGCCGCGGCGTCCTTCTTCGCGGGCTTCTTCGCCGGCGCCGCGGGCGTGTCCGCGCGTTTCGCCGGCGCCGTTGCGGCCGGCGGCGCGTCGGGCAGGCCCGCGCCCGCCGTCGGGTCCGCGTTGTAGAGCGGCAGCGCCGCGCTCTCCGGGAGCTTGAGCGACACCGAGAGCACGTTGTTCCACTTCTTGGGGACGAGGTCGCCGACGACGGCGTTGACGCCCGCGACGACGTTGGCGACGCACTCGTCCGCGCTCATGTCCGTGTGCGCCAGGTTCGCGGCGACGCACGTGCCCTCCTTGAGCACGACGTGCGCGCTCGCCGTCGCCTTGCGGATCTGCGCGGCGAGGCTCTCGGGCCGCGTGACCTTGACGACGATGGGCTGCTTCTTGCGGCCGAAGAACGTCGACCCGAGCAGCTTGCCGAGCATGGGCGCGACGCGGTCGTCCGCGAGGAAGACGTCGAAGCGGTCCCGCAGTTCGCGCTTGTCCTTGTACTGCTTGTAGGAGCTGCGCAGCTTGTCGAAGGCCAGGACCTTGTCGACGAGCTTGCCCGCGTCCGTCTCGACGCCGGACCCGGGCGCCCGGGTCGTTTCCTCGCGGCGCGCGCGGTTCGCCGCGCGCGTGCCGTCGAGCTTCGTGAGCTTGACCTTCGGCCCCGGCGCCTCGCCGTCGACGGCCAGCGCCTTGAGCCAGGGCTTGTCCGCGGCCTTGACGATGAGGCAGCAGCTCAGCTCGCTCGCGTCCTTGAGCGGGTGCGGCAGCGCGACGAGCCGCGGCTTCGGCGACGGCGTGATCGGCGCCTGCTTCAGGCCGATCTGCACCGTGAGGAAGTCGGCGTCGAGGTCGAGGCCCCGGCCCTGCTTCGACCGATAGGCGAGCAGCGCCTTGACGGCCTTCGTCACGTCCGACGCGACCAGAGGCGACGCGACCATGCTGCGACACAGGCCGAAGCAATTAATCGCAATCGCCCACGGCATCATCTCGCGGGAGCAGTCAAACATTGGCTTTACCACCGCGGCGCCCGCGCTTATGGCCGCTCGACGAGCGCTTTTTGAGCGCGTTTAGCGGTCGCATAACACGCAAATATCAGTCATCGAACGGTGTAACGCCGACGAGACCCGCGAACGACCCAGAGCTCGCCGTCGAACAGTCCGCCAACAACTCCATGGAGGTCGAGCGGCCCGACGCCGCGTCGTCGCGCGCCGCGGAGATCGACGCGCTCGCCCGCGGCGGCGGCGTGCCGGCGCTCGCGGAGGCCCACGGCTACGTCGCCGAGGACGACGGCCAGAACTACGACGGCGAGCTCTCCGGGGCCGACGCGGCGGCGCTGCACCGGCTGCTGCTCGAGCGCGTCCTCGCGAAGCGCGCGCGCGACTTCGCCGCGGCCGACGGCGTCCGCGACCGGCTCCGCGACGCGGGCGTCTCCGTCGACGACCGGTCCGCGACGTTCCGCGTCTTCCGCCGGCCGCCGCCGACGGGCCACGGCTACGCGCGCGACGACGACGGCGGGTCCGTCGCCCTGAGCCCCGACGACGCGGCGCAGCTCGACGCGCTGCTCCTCGAAAGGGTCCGCGCGAAGCGTTCTCGCGACTTCGCCGCCGCGGACCACGCGCGCGACCTCTTACGGGCCGCGGGCGTCGAGGTCGACGACCGGCGGAACACGTACCGCGTCGGCCGGCCCGGCCCGCCGCGGCCCCGGGGCCACGGCTACCGCCGCGACGACGACGGGGCCGTGGCGTTGACCCCGGACGACGCCGCGCGCCTCGACGCGCTCTTGCTGGACCGCGTCGCCGCGAAGCGCGAGCGCAACTTCGACGAGGCGGACCGGCTGCGCGCGGCGTTGGAGGCCGCGGGCGTCCGCATCGACGACCGCGATCGTACGTACCGCGTCCTCGGGCCCGCCGCGGCGCCCATGGACGCGACGGCGACGCGGCGCCAGCCCGTCGCGGGCTGGTCCCGCGGCGGCGGCGCGCCGCGCGCCGTCCGCGAGGTCGACATGGCCGACGGGTCGCCCATGGCCGACGGGCCGCCGGTACCGGTGGCGGCGCCGCCGCTTCCGACGCCGCCGCCGCCGCTTCCTCCAGCAGAACCGCCCTACGCGCGGGACCCGTCGGACGACTCGGGCGTGACGCTCGCTCCGGCCGACGAGGCGCTCCTCGTCGCGCGGCTCGCGACGCGGCGCGCGGCCCGCCACCACCGCGACTACTCGAGCGCCCAGGCCATCCGCGACGAGCTCGACGCCGTCGCGTCGGCCTGCGGCTGCCGCCTCGTGCTCGACGACGACCGGCGCACGTACCGATTTCTCCGGGCCGCCGAGCCCGCGGCGGCGCCGGCGGCGGACGACGCGCACGGCTTCGCGAGGGACGACGGCGGCGAGCCGCTGCCGCCGGCCGCGGCCGAGGCCGTCGACGCTTTATTGCTCGCGAGAGTCAGAGCGAAGCGGTCCCGCGACTTCGACGAGGCGGATCGGCTGCGCGGGCTGCTGCGCGACGAGCACCGCGTCTTCGTCGACGACGCGCGCCGGACCTACGCCGTGCGCCCTTTGATCGAGCGCGCCGAGCCCGCGCGCGCGGCGCGCGCGCGGCCGCCGCCGGCGCCCGAGGGCGGCCACGGCTACGCGCGCGACGATGACGGCGCGCCCCTCGACGACGCCGTCGACGAGCTGCTCCTCGCCCGGGTGCGGGCGAAGCGGTCCCGCGACTTCGACGAGGCGGACCGGCTGCGCGGCGTCCTCCGGGACGAGCACCGCGTCTTCGTCGACGACGCGCGCCGGACCTACGCCGCGCGCCCGCTCGTCGACCGCGCCGCGCCGCCGCCCGACGACGACGACCGCGCGCGGCGGCGGAGCGGGTTCGCGCGCGACGCCGACGACGACGGGCCGCCGCTGGCGCGAGAAGACGAGGACCGCGTGCACCGCAAAATCGCCGCGCGAAGGGACGCGCAGCTGCTCCGCGACTTCGACCTCGCGGACGCGATCCGCGACGAGCTCCGCGACGAGCTGCGCGTGCTCCTCGACGACCGCGCGCGCACGTTCCGCGTCGTGCCCGCGCTGCGCCGCGGCGACGACGAGCCCCGGCCGGCCCCGCGGCGCGACGACTCCGGCGACGACGCGCGGGCCGCCAAAAAGGAGCGGAAGCGGCTCAAGAAGGAGCGCAAGAAGGAGAAGAAGCGCCTCAAGAAGGAGCGGAAGCGGTCGAAGAAGTCCCGCAGCCGGAGCCGGTCGTCGTCGTCGTCGCGGTCGTCGCGCTCGCGGCGCTCCCGGAGCCGCAGCCGCTTCAGCCGGTCGTCGTCGTCGCGGTCGCCGGAGCCGCGCCGGTCGTCGTCGTCGCCGCGGAAGCGGTCCCTGAGCGACGACGGCTCCGAGGGCCGGAAGGCGCGCCGTGTCGAGAGCGACTGAATTATTTTTTCCTAGATCCTCCCCTGGGGCCCCGCGTAGCAATGCAAATCCCCGAAGCGCGCGCCGCCGAAGCCCGCGAGCATGGTGGCGAGGTCGTCGAAGCCGCTGCCGACGGCGACGTCGTAGGGCGTCACGCGGCCGCCCGCGTCCCACATGAGCGTCTTTGTCGACGTCGCGTTGACGTTCGCGCCGTGCTCCAAAAGCAGCCGCGCGACGCCCCGGTCGTCGTTGACGGCCGCGTCGTGGAGCGCAGTCCACTCCGTGCTCCGCTCGCAGGCCGCCGCGTCCGCGCCGCCGGCGACGAGCAGCGTCGCGGCCTCGAGTCGCTCCTCCGCGTCGAGCGCCGAGCCGGACGTGACGACGAAGAGCGCGTTTCGCCCCGGCCGCTCGCCGTCGCCGACGGTCGCGTCGGCGCCGGAGGCCAGCAGCAGCTTCGCGACGTCGAGGCGGCCGAAGCGCAGCGCCGCCAATAAAGGCGTCCACGTCGGGTTCGACCCGCCCGCGTCGACGGCCGCGCCCGCGTCGAGCAACGCCCGCGCCGTCTTCACGTCCTTCGCGAAGTGGAGCGCGCGATCGCCGTAGCGCAGCGCGTTCGCCGCGTCGACGTCGGCGCCCTTGGCGAGCAGGCGCCGGAGGCCGGGCACGTCGCCCTTCTCGGCGCAGCGGCAGAGCTGCTCCGCGTCTTCCCGGAGCTCCGGCGCGAGCGGTTGAGCCGGGTCCGGCGGCGCCTCGTGGACGGTCTGCTGCTCGCGCTTGTTCGCCGCCATCTGCGCGAAGAGCTCGTCCATGGCCGACGCGCCGCCGCGCAGCGACTCGAGCTTCATCTGGAGCATGGCGTCTCCGGGGTCCTCGCGCACGGCCGCCTCGTACTTGGCGATGGCGCCGGCCGTGTCGCCGACCTCCGCGAGGTCCTCAGCTTGGGTTGCGAGCTTTTTCGCGCGCGCGGTGGCCATCTTAGGGTGCAAGTCTCCCTTGATTAGGCGACCATGCTCTCTCAAAGCGACTTCGCCTGCAAAGAACTGTTCAACTTGCAGACGCTCACGCGATGCGCCTGCCGAATCAGGGGGTCTGGCCGTGCCTGGTCGTCTGCTTGCTTGCCTTGCATCGCGCCGAGTCGTTGTTCGCACCCATAGCACAACCACGCCGAAACACCGCTCTCCGCGCCACCACAACCCTCACCCCGAAGCTCCTCGAGGAGCTCAACGAGCTGCCGGTCTTCGTGCACTGCAACGAACAGGGCAACCCGTTAGAATACGAGCGCGACGGGAAGCCGCTGGCGCTCTGCTACGCGGACTGCGCCGAAGCGCAGGAGGCGCTCGCGCAGAACCGGAAGGCGTATCCCGGCCTCGGCCTGCGGCTCGTCGCCATCGGCCTCGGCGACGCCTACGAGCGAAAGGCGGCAGGCGGCGCCGTCGTCGTGCCGGGGAGTGCCGCGCTCGACGCCGCGCGGAACCCGAGCGGCGAGGCCTGGGACGACGGCACGATCCCGCTCTTCGGCTGCCTCCAGATGACGATGCCCAACGCCTACGGCGAGACGGTGTGCCCATTGTTCATGTGCCCCGACGACGCGGAGCGGGCCGTGGGCAACGCCAAGCCACCGACGCAGCAACCCGGCGACGACCCCGCGGGCTTCGACCTGACGATCGTCTGCATTTCCCTCGACCGCGCGCTCGACCTCGTGACGCGGCGCTCCGCGGGGGCCGTGGGCTTCCAGTTCGTCCCGCCGGCGGCGTCCGTCGCCTGGCTCCAGAACGGGCGGCCGGGGGGCGAGGTGGAGGCCGGCGGCGGCCCGCCCGTGACGCCCATCCCGGGCACGAACTGGGGCATCCGGGGGTGATGGCCTCGCGTGTATGGTTATGTGTAGCTAGGAGTATTCGCCTCGGGCTGAGGGAGCCGATCGAGGTGCCGGCCGCGTCGCACGCTCCGGCGGGCGGCACCGGACGGCTCGGCCGGCCCCGCGAGCTCGGCCGCCCACCGCCGAGACGATGGCCCTCCTTGACTGAGAGCTCCGTGATCGCTGCGCGCCCTACCCGTCGACGCCGGCGCCGGGGCGAGGCATAGCGCCGCGCGGCCGCCGCTCCACGCGCCGCACGCGAAGGCGCGCACCGCCGCGACCGCTGCGCCGCGCGCGCCTCGCCGTTCCAGCGCCATGAGCTCCGGCGAGCGGCTGACGCCGTTCATGCTCTTCTTCTGCGAGCACCGCGACGTCGTGCAGGCGGCGCACCCGACCCTGGCGCCCCACGAGCTCAGCGCGCTCATCGCCGACAAGTGGAAGGCGCTGCCGGCGGATCGCGCGCGCGCCTACGGCGTGCTGTCGGCGACGTACGCGGAGCAGAAGAAGCCGGGCGTGACGGCGCAGCCGCGGAAGCGCAAGGAGCGGCGGGAGAAGGACCCCAAGGCGCCGAAGTCCGCGACCTCCGCCTACATGTGCGTCCGCCCGCGCGCGCCCGCCGCCGCGGGTCTCCCGAAACCGCCGAACCCGCGCAGGTACTTCTCGAAGCACCACCGCCTGCTGCTCAAGCGGGAGAACAGCGACCTGACCTTCGGCGACCTCGGCAAGACCGTCGGCGCCATGTGGAAGGCGGCGACGCCGCAGGAGAAGAAGCCCTTCGAGGACCTCGCCGCGGCGGACCGGACGCGGTACAACTCGGAGCTCTCCGAGTACCGGCAGGTCGAGCCGGCGCCCGCGCCGCCGCCGGCGCCGCCGCCCGCCGCGCCGCCGCCGCCGCGGGCCCTGCCGCCGCCGCCGCCCCTGCCGCCGCCGCTGCCGAAGCCGCTCACCGCGCGCGCGCCGCCGGCGAAGAAGGCGAAGAAATAAGACGATCCAAAATTACCGGTTCCCGCCGCAGCGCCACTCGCCGACCTTCTCGACGAGGAACATGGCCATGGCCGACGTCTGGGCGCCGCTCGCCTCCAGGTCGCCGGCGATGGCCGTGAGGCGGTCGAAGCACGTCCGGCTCGCGGCCCGGAGGGCCGTCTCCGACGAGTTGCAGAGCACGGTCAGCGCCCAGACGCCCTCGTGGCGCACGTCGCCGGTGTCGTGGACCGTGAGGGCGACGGCGATGGCGGACACGGCGCCGCAGGCCTCCGCGGACGCGCAGTTGAGCGCGTTGCCGAAGCAGAGGTGGCGCATCGCGCGGCAGCCCTTGGCCGCGACGCCCGCGTGGCCCGGGTGGCGCGTGAGCGTGCCGACGATGGCCGCGAGCGCGCCGGCCTCGCCCGCCGCGGCCTTGCGCAGCGGCGCGTTGAAGAGCTGCGTCGAGAGCGCCTCGAGGAAGCTCTCGCAGACTCCGGCCTCGGCCTTCTCCAACAACTTCAGCGCGTTGTCGAGGTCGAAGTCGAAGGGGTTCGACGGGCCGCCCTCGGGCTCCGGACCGACGACGGTCCGCGTCGGCGCGCGCGCCATGGTCTTCGCCGCCTCGACGGCCGACTCGGCGTCGAGGCGCGCCTTGGCGGCCGCCGAGGCCTTCTTCGCCGCCTCCCAGGCGGGCGCGATCGCCTCCTCGTCGCTGTCGACGATGTCGATGTCGAACTTCGAATAGTCCAAGGAGGCGCGCTGCTGGGCGGACATGGTCGTCGCTTTGGCTGCGTTGCGTTGCACAGCGACGGCGGCGCCGGCGCTTTTGAGAGCTCTTTGTGGCAATACTCCCAGCTTGAAGTGATTATTGAACTTCGGGACTGCGCGCGAAGCTTCTTCTGCCCATCCGGCGCACGGCGTCGTCGGGAATTGGGACTGTCCGCAGTCGGGCATCAGCGGCGACCGGGTGCTTCGAGCGGCATGGGCAGCTTCGCACGCCTCGTCGCGCTCGCAGCGCCATGGAGCGTCACCCAGGGGCTGCCCGCGACCATGTGCGAGTTCGCGCCGCCGCTGGCCGAGGCCTACTGCAACGCGACGAGCGGCGGCGTCTGCGTCAACTCCACGGGCGAGTGCGACGCCATGGGCGGCTTCGGCAACGGCGACGCCGGCTGCGGGGCCGCGTGCTTCTGCTGCAAACAGCCGCGGATTCTCCCGACCTGCGAGACCGCGGGAACCGTCGCCATGAGCTACTGCCTCGCGAAGCACGACGGCCTCTGCATGGCGTCGTCGGACGACTGCGATGCTGTGGGCGGCGACTTCTCCGACAGCGGCTGCGGCGACGACTGCGGCTGCTGCCGAAACGTCGGCGCGACGCCGGCGCCCACGGCGGCGCCCTCGGAGCCGGCGACCGACGACGACGACGACGACGGCGGCGACCGGGACATGCTCTTCTGGCTCTGTGTTTTTCTCGCGCTGCTGAACGGCTTCTCGTTCGCGTGCGGCGCCTACGTGTGCCGGAGGCGCGAGAAACCCGCCGCGGCGAGCGTCCCGGCGGACAAGGCGCCCACGGAGGCGCTCTGGGTCGACCCGCCGCGCGCGCCGCCGCCGCCGCCGCCGCCGCCGCGCGCGCCGCGGTCGCCGAGCTCGCCCCGCGGCTTCGAGATGGTCCCGAACGACGGGGAGGGCTTCGTCGTCGGCGGCGTGACGATGGAGGACTTGTAATTAGCGTATATGTTTGCGTGTCTGGGCGAATTCGGCGTCGCGGTCGGAACGCAAAACGTGCGTGAAGATGCCCACTAGACACCCTGCAGCCCACTGCAATGAGGCGGCAATGTCGATGTTTACCTGTCTCCCTCTCTCAATTGATCGATCGAGCCGCGTCTCGACCGCTCTCTCTGCTGGGCTATGGTAGACAAGCGCACCCAGCTCTTATTGAGTGCTGGATTCGCCGCTGTGCTCACGCTACATCTCTGCTACACGGCCGGCCAGAAATTTCTCGCGACGAACAGCAGCGCGAAAGACGCGGACCGCAAAGCATGAGGCTCCTACTCCTTTTAGCAGTGTCGAGCTATGCGCTCTCGCCGCCGAGGGCGACGCGCCGCAGCCTCTTCGCAACGCTGCCGCCCGCCGTCGCGTCTTTTGTCGCGCCGCGCGCCGACGCGGCCCTCGTGTGCATCGACGGCAAAGGCCCGTGGTGCGACGGCCTCGAGAGAGCGACGAACCCGCGCGCAGAGGACACGGCCGCGCGCGCCGCCGCCTACGACGCCGAGCTCGCGCAAGCCTCCGACGCGATGCTGCGCCGACGACGGCGCGGGAACTTCGCGCTCGAAAACCGAGGCCGACGAGCCGCCGCCCGAAACGCCGCGCGCGCCGGCCGACGACGCCCCCGCCGGGCAGAGCTAGTCCCGACGGTACCAGAGATACACTACACAAGGCGTGAGACTAGGCACTGTACACCAGGCGTCAGGTTAGGCACGCTGTGGGGTTGGGTGTCAGGGCGCGCGGTCGTTTTCCGCGCGCGCCGTCATGTTCGTCCCCGTGGTTGGCGCGATTCGTTCACGCGCAGCATCACATGCCGTCCTGGGGCCCGAACTTCTCGAGCAAGTGCGCGGCTTGGATGCGATGGATCTCCTCGTAGCGCGCGCGCTCGTCGGCGTCCAGCGGGCGGCCGACGAATTCCTTCACGAACCCGTCGACCTCCGCGGGCGTCGGCTGCGGATTTTTGACGTCCGGGTAGCGCCGCTTCGCGTAGTAGCGGCCCTCGGCCGTGTCGATGTAGAGGATGCCGCGCGCGTCGACGTGCTTCTCCGTGATGTTCAGGTCGGCGTTGGTCCGCAGCTTCTGCAGGAGAAACCCGACCTTCTTGTTGTAGGATCAGTGCGGGCAGTGGGTAATCGTGAGAGCTTTCGCCATCGTTGCGCGCGACGACAGCAAACGTATCGTGGCGCAGCGGTGGAGGCCCACGCACGACGACGGCGCGGTGGGTAGCTCACGAGAGAGCTCTGCGAAGAAAGTGCAACCTAAGGGCAATGTATGGTTCAATAAAACGCCCGAGCGTTCTGCCGTCGCTCTTTTTACCCGGGGTGCGCCGCGGGGCTTGGGCCGCGGGACGCGCGCCGGTGGCCTACGCGGACTGGTGCGTGCGGACGGTGTAGGAGTGGAGGCCGTGGACGCCGCCCTCCTTCTGGGCCGCGGGCGAGCGGAGCTCGACGCGGAGCTTGCCCGACGACGCGGCGAGGAGGAGGCCCGGGAGGTCCTTGACGCCCGCGTCCTGCATGCCGTGCTGGATGCCCTGGCGGAGGTAGGGGATGTAGGACGCGAGCGGCCCCTTGTCGATGACGGAGCCGGAGACGCCCTGCGCGACCTTGACCTTGGCCTGGGACGCGAAGTAGCGCTTGTCGCTGCCCTGCTTCATGGCCTCGAGGGAGCCCATGCCCCGGTAGCGCTTGAGCCGCGCGCCGTCCTGGAAGAAGTACTCGCCCGGCGACTCGTCGGTGCCCGCGAGCATCGAGCCCATCATGACGCAGGACGCGCCCAACATCAAGGCCTTGATGATGTGGCCCGTGTTGCCGACGCCGCCGTCGGCGATGACGGGCACGCCGTACTGGCGCGCGAGCCGCGCGACGTTGTAGACCGCGGACGCCTGCGGGCGCCCGCACGCGCAGACGACCTGCGTCGTGCAGATGGAGCCCACGCCCATGCCCACGCGCAGGCCGTCGACGCCGGCCTCGATGAGGTGCTTGGCCTGGAGCCGCGTGACGACGTTGCCGCCGATGACCTCCAGTCCCGGGAACGTCGCCTTGATCCACTTGACCATGTCCTTCTGGAAGACGCTGTCGCCCTGGGAGCTGTCGAGGACGACGACGTCCAGACCGGCGTCGACGAGCTCCTTGAGGCGCAGGCGGTCGTTGGGCCGCGTGCCGATGGCCGCGCCGCAGAGCAGGCTCTTGTCCGCGCCGACGGACGACAGCGGGTAGTCGCGCGCCTTCCGCAGGTCCGTGCGCGAGATGAGCGACACGAGCTCGTAGTTGGCGTTGACGATGGGCAGCTTGCCCTTCTTGTTCTTCGACAGGACGTCGTTGGCCTCCGAGAGCGTGCACGGCTCCGTCGCGACCACCAAATCCGTCGACATCACCGAAGAGATCTTCGTGCCCTCGCGGTCCTCGACGAAGTCGACGTCGCGCTTCGTGACGATGCCCACGAGCTTCGAGTGGAGCTTGCCGTCCACCGTGATGGGGATGCCGAAGTGGCCGTACTTCTCCTTGACGTCGTCGAGCTCGGCGATCGTCTGGTCCGGCGCCATCACGACGGGCGCCGAAATGAACCCGTTCTTGTAGGCCTTGACCTTCTTCACCTCGGCGACCTGGTCCGCGACGGGCATGTTGTAGTGGATGACGCCGAGGCCCCCGTGCTGCGCGATCGCGATGGCCATGTTCGCCTCCGTCACCGTGTCCATGGGCGAGGAGACGAACGGCGTCTTCAGCGCGATCTTCTTCGTCACCTTGGTCTCGAGCGCGACGGCGTCGACGCCGAAGTCGATCTCGCCGGGCAGCACGATGATGTCGTCGTAGGTGTAGCCGCTGTGGGACCGCGACTGCTCGAAGACCTCGGCCAGCGAGTACCTAGGGAGTGCGCGTCTTCCGGCGCGGCGGCGCGCCGCGGACGCGGTGCGCCGCGCCCGTCCATGAGGTCCTCCTCGGGAATCTTGCCGTTCGCCATGGGTTCGCGCGCTGGAACGTGCGGTGCAGGGGACCGAAGGACGAGGCAGAGGGCGGCTGCAGCTCGGAGAGCACTCGTTCAAACCTGCTCGTCGCCCGTCGAGACTCCGTCGGGCAGACTTCATCATCGTTCGTCCGCGCGCCGCAGGCCTACTTGAAGGCTTACTTGCACGCCTTGCCGCACGCGTCCGCCGCCAGAGTCTCGCTCGCAGGAAGAACGGTCTCGTCGTACACTTCACATGCGCATCTATGCCGGCCGTTACTCACACGCTAGTATGCCCCGACTCGCCCCCGAGGTGGCCCCAGAAAGCAGCGACTTCGCACGCGAGTGCACGGGGGAGCCGATGGCCGGAGACGTGTCGCACCACGATGCTCCCGCACACCTGGCGACATTTCGCTTCGTAGGGCGCGAAATCGCCGGCCCGCGGGCCCGCCTTGATGACCTTCTCCAGGTAAAGCCTCGTGCTCTCCGGGACCTCGCTCGGTATCGGCTTATGGCCCGCGAAATAGAAGAAAGACCAATCAACTTTCATCACGCGCCCACCCAGCTGTTCGCCGGGCTCCGGGGGATTGTCATCACGCGCCCGCCATGAAATCCTCGCTCCGGCCCGCAGCAGCAGATAGAGAAGACGCCGGTTGCCAGAAAGCGCCGCGGGACATATGGTCGACTTCCTCGCATCGGCGCCAGCGGCAAGGAGCGCGACGATGCAGTTCTCCTGCGACGCAAATGACAACGGTGTTCGGGTCATGTTGCAGAAGATGGTTTCAGAGCTGGGGTCTTGGGAGCCGTCGTGGCATTGCACCGGCGCGTCGACCTCGGCGCCAGACGCGAGCAGTAGACGAAGAGATTCGAGCTGCCCCGCTTCAGCTGCATGATGCAAAGGTGTCTGACCGAAATAGACACCCCGAACGTCCGTAGTCGCACCGGCATCTAGGAGTAGCTGGACGCATTCACGAGATTTGGCCGCCGCTACGTGGATCGGGTGGCCGGTGGCGTTCCCCACGATCTGGTCCTGGTCGTAGTCCTCCATGTAGCCCATGCCCGAATCGTGGTGGATTGATGCACCCGCCTCCAGTAAGCGCGCGACTATCTGCGCGCCCCCCGTCCAGCAAGCATAATGTAGTGGTGTCTCAGCTTCGACGTTCGTGGCGTCGACGTTGGCGCCCGCGTCGAGGAGGATGGCGACGCAATCCTCATGCCCCATTTCCACGGCTTTGTGCAGCGGTGATTCATTAGCATGTGTGCGGGGCTCCAGGTGCTGCTCCAGGTCGGGATTCACGGCGTAGCCGGCGTCCAACAGGATGCTCAAAATCTCCCCGTCTCCAAGTTCGCAGGCGCGCGGCAATACCGTGCAGGACAGCTGCCCGACTAGCTCATTCGGAAACCGTGGAATCAGAGCGCGAAGCGACGCAGCGTCGCTCTGACTCTCCACGGCCATTATGATACCACGTGCCGTCCCCCACACCTCGGGTATGTCACCGTCCATCATGCTGGCGGGGCCGCGGTTGCGTGAAACAAGGGCTTCTCTGTAAAGTTCAACTTAGCGAGTCCCCCAGCAGCGCGACGACCTCCGCGTCGTCCGGCCCCTCGCTCGCGGAGAACCGCGCGGCGTCGACGTGCATGAGGACCTCGCTGTAGCTCTCGGGCACGAGGAGCGTCCGGGACCGCGCGGCGAAGACGAAGACCGCGCGGTTCGACTTTTTCGGCGCGAGGTGCGCCGCCGCCGGGTCGCGGATCTCCACGGACACGTTGACGCGGCACGTCTCGGCCGTGCGGTGGACGACGCGCGCCGTGAAGGTCACGCAGTCGCCGATGGACACGGGCGAGTTGAACGTCGCGTCGTCGATGCCGAGCGGGACCACCGGCGCGCCGCCCGCGAAGAAGCGCGCCGCGTAGGACGCGAGCGTGAAGGCCTGCTCCATGACGAAGCCGCCGAAGAGCTTGCCGTGGACGTTGCGCTGCTCCGGGAAGACGACGAACGACGACCGGAACGTCGCGTTGGCCCCGATGGACTTGACGGGCCGGTCGCCGGTTTCGCGCGCGCGGAGCGCCTCGCGCTCGAGCTCGTGCACGGCCTCCATCTCCTCGGGCCGCGGCGGGTGCGACCGGCCGTCGCGGAGGAGCATGGACCCGTCGGCGCGGCGCCGCCGGATCGCCGCGTGGGTCGCCGCGAGCTCGTCGCGGAGCTCGAAGCGCGACGCGTCCGCCGCGTCCGCCGCGCCCAGCGGCGGCACCGCGCCCTTCGCCGGTTTGCCCGTCGCGCCGTCGACCGCGACCATCGTCGTCGCGCAGGAGTTCACCAGGACTTCGACGCCGGCCTCGTCGACCTGGACGCCGTCCGTGCGCACCTCGAGCGACGCGGACCCCGTCCGCGTGACGTAGCACCGCAGACTCAAATCGCGCGCGATGGCGGTCCTCTCGAGCTTCCGCGAGTGCGAGTGGCTCGCCGTCACCAGCGCGAGGCCCCGTTTTTCGCCGTCCGTGTGCGCGTAGGCGACGTCGGCCGTCAGCGCGTCGACGGCCTCGAAGAACTTGCCGAGGCGGAAGGGGGAGTAGCCGTTGCCGACGTCGCGGACGCTGTGCCGCAGCGGCTCGTCGGTCGACAGCGGGTAGACCGCCTCGATCATCGACGCCGCCGCGGTCCCGGCGGCGCCGCGCGGCGCCGTCCAGAGTTGCAGGTGCGACGCCATGGGGTCGACGCTGTGCAGGAAGGGCGCGACCTTCGCCGGCTCGTCGGCGCGCCGCGCGTCGTCGGGACGCGCCAGCGCGCTGCGCCGCACGGCATCGAGATAGGCCTTGTGCTCGGCGCGCGTCTGGAAAGCGCGGAGCTGCCGCAAGTGGCGCGGGGACCGCGAGAAAGCGCAGAGCATGCTCTCGTCGCCGCACTGTCTGCAGCAGAAAGTTGCCACTGCACGAGCACTGCAATTGAACCTCCCCAAAACTCTCAACGCCGAGCTCTCGGCTGCCCGTGCTTCGGAGAGCGTCGTCGTCTGCGTGCCGCGATGCCCGTCAACGGTCCCGTGAACGGCGTGGCCTGCGGCGTCGTCGGGCGGCCGGCGGACGGCGGGCGGGACCTGCGCGTGCCCGCGTCCATCCCCTGCTACAGCCACCACCGGGGCTCCAAGTTCAACGCGCGGTCGCGGCGGCGGCCCGCGGCGCCGAGCGCGCCCCAGGCCTGCAGCCTCCAGGCGCCCTACGGCTTCCCCTCCGAGGGCTTCCACAGCGGCGGGCCCAAGCACAGCCAGGGTTTGAAACTGTCGAAGCTGCCCAAGTGGCGGACCGTGCCCTACGACACCGACAGCCGCGAGGCGAAGGTACATCGAAAAACAGGGGCGCCCCTGCGGTCCTGGGACCGCGTCTCCTGGGAGCACGCGGCGCTGGACCTGCGCCACCACCGGCGGCGCGCGCTGCAGCCCCAGCGGTCCCTCACGGACCGGCGGAACCTGGCGCGGGAGGCGGCGTGGAACGGCGCGCACGCCGTTACAGTTTCCGAGAAAAACAGCGCCGTGCCGAGGAGCTGCCGGAGCTACTTCCGGGACCCCAAGGAGCTCGGCCTCAACGGCACGATCATGGGCACGCGGCCCAGCGGCGTCTGGAAGACGCTCCGGCGGCCCGGTTCTCCGTCGATCGAGGACCGCGTCGCCGTGGGCGGGCTGAGCCTCTACGGCCGGGACGTCGTCGCCGTGCCCGGGTCCCTGGAGCGGCCGTCGACGGGCCACTCCGTCGTGTCCGCGGGCGCCGTGCGGCGCATGGACGAGTTCCGCAAGCGGAGCCCGAAGCGGCGGCCGAGGACCGCGCCGAACCCCTCCGGGATGGGCAGCCCCGGGGGCTCCCTCGGCGGCTCGTCCATCACGAGTTCGGCGTCGCACTTCTGGCAGGTCTACCTCGACGAGAAGTAAAGGACCGAGGCGCGACGGTTGTTTATAAGCGGGGTGGGAGAAAAAAGGGCCGCCGCGGCCTCAGGGCGCGCCGGCCTTGGCCGCGCGCGCCTTCGCCTTGGCACTGGGCTCCTGCTTCGGCGGCGTCAGGCGCGGCGAGAGGTGCGGCGCGTTGCGCGCGTAGAAGAGGAGGTAGGGCGACGCGTCCTTGACGTGGTCCCAGTCCGACGGGATCACGCGCTCGTCGTCCAAAGACCACCACTCGCCGTTCGAGTCGCGGACGTGGCAGATGTAGTGGCCGAAGAACGTGGACCCGGCGACGTCGAGGTGGCAGACGACGCCGAAGAGGCGGTAGGTCTCGTCCGCGTTCGCCGGCGCGCCCGGCGCGAGGAACGGCTCGAGGTCGAGCGTCTCGTCGAACGCGACCTTGCGGTTCAGCTTGCCGAACAAAGCCCCGAAGGCCGGCACGCGGTCCACGTAGAGCGCGAGGGCGTTGGGCGTCTGGTAGAAGCCGGCGATCTTCTCGCAGGTCGACTTCTGGTCGCACTCGTCGCACTTGTAGCCGTCGATGGTCTCCGACGCGAAGAAGAGCTCGAGCAGCTCGACGACGTCCGTCGGCGGCGTCGTGTCCTCGCGGCGGCCGCCCGCCGCGCCGATGCGCAGCGCCGCGCGCGTCGCCGCCTTGTTCTTCCAGGGCGACTTCTCCGCGAGGCCGCCGAGCCCCGGCGACTCGTCCTTCGCGGAAGCTTTCGCCAATTCCTCGGGCGACAGGCCCAGCGTCGCGTTGAGCCGCAGGGCCAGCTCGACGCTGTGCGCCTTGCTGTGGAAGCCGCAGGCGCCGCAGACGACGGCCTGGCCCAGCGTGCACTCGAAGACGTCGTGGACGAGCGTCGACCGCTCCCAGGCCGCGTCCGTCGGGCCGTCGTAGCCGACGCCGCAGGCCTCGAGGAGCTGGGCCAGCACGTAGGTCAGGCACTCGTGGGCGTCCTCCATGCGCCCCGCGTGGCGCGTGCAGCTCAGGAGCTGCTTGGAAACCACGAGCTCCTCGGTGGACCGCTTCCGCGGCGCGCGGCGCCGCCGCCGGCCCGGCGCCGCGGCGCCGTCGTCGCCGTCGTCGGGCTCGTCGTCGGAGTCGCTCGCCGGGTCGACGGGCGCGATGGGCTCGCAGCGGCTCAGCATCTCGTTGCGGCTCCAGACCTTGCGGACGTGGCGCGCCAATTCGAACATCATGTTGAAGCCGCGCTTCGTCGGCGCGTTGCCGACCTCGACCTCCAGCAGGTACCCGGCGAGGGGGCTGTAGGTGAGGGCCTGGAGCACGCAGGTCAGGTAGCACGTGTTGCCCTCGTTGCGCAGGCCCACGCGCGCGCCTGCGGGGGGGGGGTCGTAAGAGTTCCGCGCGGGAGCGACGCGGGACGCCGGGAGGCGGACCGGCGGCGTTGGCGCGCTGGAGGGCCGCGGGCGAGCTCGCGCGGAAGTGGTCGCCGTAGAGCGGCGTGCCGGCGATGACCTGGTTCCCCTTGCGGCTCGGCCCCTGCGCCGTCGGCCGCGCCGGCGGAACCGCGCCGGACGTCGGCCGGCCCGTGCGCTGCACGCTCTTGACGCACTGCGTCTTGTGCTCGCGCCAGTGCTCGCGCTGGCCTAAAATCGCGGGCGCGCGGGGTCGGCGCCGGCGCGGCGGGGGGACGAGCGCGCACATTCGAGGGAGCAGTAGGGCTGCTCCTTGCAGTTCCCGCAGATCTTCGTCGCGTTGGACGAGCCGCAGGCGCCGCAGACCTTCGGCTCGTCCGCGGCGAACTTCATCGCGACGCGTTCGTGCGCGTTCGTCGGCGTTGGAAGCCTGGCGACTCCGCTGATCGACCACCCTCTCGTCGTGGAGCTCGCGAGCGGTGGGTGTTGAATTCGGCATCGTCGACTTGCCGTCGACTCGGCGGCGCGCCGATGGCCGTGTAGCAAACCCACTCGGGCAGCCCACCTGCGAGCGCAACGAGGCAGCCTCCACGATGCCATCCTCGCGGGCCCTCGTCGCGGCCGTCGTCGCGCTGCTGAGCTACGTGGACCGGTCGCGCATGCGCCGGGCCCACGCCGGGCTGCCCCGCTACCGCACCTACGGGAACCCGGCGCTGCCGCCGGTCGTGCTCATCCCCGGCCTCGACGGCTGCGCGTCCTTCTACGCCGGCGCGCTGCCGGAGCTGACCCGCGAGCGCTTCGTGGTCGTCTACGAGCTGCCGCTGGTTTCCGCCGCGAACCGCGACGCCTACACGTTCTCGTACCTCGCGCGGGGGCTGGCGGACGCGCTCGACGAGCTCGACATCGACGCCGCGCCCGTCGTCGGCGAGTCCTTCGGCGGCGTCGTCGCCATGCACGCCGCGCTCGAGCACGAAACCCGGGTGACGCGGCTCCTCCTGCTGAGCTCGCTGGCGAAGACGGAGCTCACGACGGAGGTCTGGCTCAAGAAGACGTTCGCATTGCCCGTCGTGCGCGTGATCGGCCGCGCGTTCCCCAACGTCGCGCAGACGATCTTCGCCTACGTCCACGCGTCCGACGTCGTCGAGGCGTCGGAGCCCGAGTGGGTGACGAACTTCTTCATCAAAGAAGCGTCCTGGGCGCACCACGCGTCGGTCATGGCGCGCCTGTCCATCGTGATCCCGCTGGACATCACGGCGCGGGTCGTGCATCTGCGCCAGAAGACGCGCCTCGTCTACGGCGCCGACGACACGTTCACGGGCGCGACGACGGACGCGCTCCTCGCGCTGCTGCCGGACGCGGACAAGGTTGCCCTCCCGGGCGGCCACCTCCCGCACCTCACGAGCCCGAAGGCGTTCGCAAGGCTCGTGCTGGACTTCGTCGCGGGGAAGTAAGCTTCGGGAGGTGGTGGCTGCCCCCGACCTCTCCAGGTACGCGTCCATCAGTGAAGTGATCAAAACTCGGATTCTGATAGCCTGGATTTAAAAGTCAACATTTTTGTTGAACTTCAGCACTTTTGTTGAAGTTAAATCTTGCGATTTCTTGACCCGAACCAGCGACCGCGCGCAAAAAGTCTTCGCAAACGTGCAATCAACGCGTGAGTATCATCAAGCTTGCTTTGATACGACCATTTAACCAATTTTGGCCGTGATTTCAGCCCGCGGACCTCCGCGACACCGCGCCCGCGCGCGCGGTCGACGCACAGCCTCTATGGAGGACTAATGACTCTGGCTCCGCCGGCCGGAATTCGATGATTGATCTTTATTAATTAATTTCCTATGGGCGTGTCTAGATGTACGTTGATCACTTCACTGGCGTCCATCGCGTCCGCGCGCAGCTCGCCGGGGGTCGCCGCGCCCTCGAGTTGGACGAGGTGCTTTAAACAGGAGCGCTTGGAGCCGCCGCTCGACGCTCGTGCGCGCGCCCGTCCGCGCCGCCGCAGTCGTGACACGCGTCGAGAGACGCCCGAGCACGCCTGTCGAGACGCGCACGCGAAAAAACGCGATGATCGGCCGCCGCTCCGGCGTCGTGATCGACTACGACGCCGTCGGGAAGGACGCGAGCGGCTACGACGACCTCGACGCGTTCTGGGCCGCGGCGTCGACGGCGCAGGCCTTCACGGCCACGGCGGCCCAGCGGGCGCAGCCCCGGTCCGCGTCGCGGTGGTCCGAGCGGAGCGCGTCGCGCTACCACTCCGACGGGCTCGCGGCGGCGGACCTCGCGGGCGCGTCGCCGGGCTACGACGACTTCGACGCGCCGGCCTTCGCGGACCTGAGCGACGGCGGCGGCGAGGAGGAGGCGTTCGTCGGCGCGGCGCGCGAGGGCAACGAGCGCGCGCGCGCGTCGCTCGCGGACGACGGCCCGCCGCCCGCGGGCGACGAGGAGGACGACGACGAGCCGCCGCGGGTCCAGGCCTACGAGCCGCCGCAGGACGACGAGGCGGCGGACCCGAACGTGCGGCGGAGCAAGCGGGCCAAGTTCCCGCCCATGAAGTTCTGGAAGAACGAGCGCCTCATCTACCGGCGCGACGACGCCGTCCCGGCGCCGTCCGTCGTCGCGATCCAGCTCGGCGCGAAGACGCCCAAGCCCAGGGTTCGCCCCCGCGCGGCCAAGAAGGGCGGCTACGGCGCGCCGGGCCGCGGCGGCGACGGCGGCGCGCTCACCGCGTCCGAGTACGACGCCGACGGCGAGGGCCAGCAGGCCGACGTCTGGGCCGAGGAGGCGCAGCGCGTCGTCGCCGTGCCGGCCATCGCGCGCTTCGACAACCTGCTCATGTCCAAGCTGCCGGCGACCATGGCCGGGGGCAAGCGCGCCGAGGCGCGGATGACGCTCGCGACGCAGGCTTTCAGCCGGGAGCAGGCCGTCGCGGGCGACGTCGTCATCCCGGGCTGGATGACGGGCTGCCTCGAGCTCCCGCCCAAGGGCGTCAAGGACGCCGAGTCGACGGGCCTCGCGTCCATGCTCTTCTTCGCCGGCGAGGGCCAGGACGGCGCCTTGGAGCTCGCGATCAACCGGCCCGAGCCCGACGACGAGGTCGGCCGCTTCGACGCGCCCAGCGCCCAGCGCTTCCTCCTCTCGCCGGGGGACCAGTTCCAGATCCCGCCGAACAACATCTACCGCCTCGAGAACCGGTCCCAGTCGCGGCCGGCCAAGCTCTTCTTCTGCCTCATCAACGCGATCCAGCTCCCGGACGACGGCCCGCCCCCCGACGACGAGTTAAGCGACTAAGACGGCGCGTCGGCGGCGCCCGAGAACCGGTGGCCGAAGAAGCGCGTCGCGACGTTCTCCCAGGACGGCGGCCGCGCGAGCGGCGCGGGCGCGTCGCCGCCGTCCCGCGACGACGACGACGCCGCGTCGGAGTCGGCCTCGAGGCGGCTCACGAGCAGGTCGTCGAAGCGGCCGACGCTCAGCTCCGACGCGGAGTCGTCGGCGTCCTCCGCGCGCGCGACGTCGACGGTCGGCCGGCGCGCCGCCGCGCGCCGCGCGAGCGCCACGGCCGCGGCCTCCGAGGGCCCCGCGACGACGACGTCCACGAGCGACGTGGGGACGCACAACGGCAGGTGGCGCCGCGCGCAGTGGTAGGCCAGGGACCAGAAGAGCGACGGGTCGTCCGCCGGTAGACCGCCGATTTTCCGCCGCGCGAGGAGCGCCTCCTCCAAACCCCGCCGCGCGTCGGCCTCGCCGAGCAGCGTCCAGGAGGCGACGTCGTAGGCCGCGCAGCCCGCCCGCAGGATGGCGACGCGGAGCGTCGCCGGGCTCCAGGTCCGCGCGTCGCCGCCGCCGTCGGCCCGGGGCCACGCCGCGGCGACGACGGCGCCCGCGCCGTACCAGGTGGCCCCGCCGAGGCAGGGCGCCGACCCCTCGTCGGACGCGAGGTCCCAGGAGGCGTCGGCGCTCCGCGCGGGCAGGCGGTAGACGGCGCCGCCGTCCGTCGTCCGCGTCGACGTCGACGCCGTCGAAGGCCATCTGCCCCGTCCTCCAGAGGCGCGCGAGCGCCGTCGCGCCGTCGTCGCGCTCCAGCGCCGCGCGCAGCTTCGCGCTGCCGTACTGCTCGCGGAACGTCAGGTCCACGAGCCCGGGCAGGCCCTCGGTGCCCGCGCACCGCCGCAAGGCCGCGAGCGTCGCCGGCGACATCGACCGGTCCTCCGTCAGCGCCGCCGCGGCGCCGGCGACGTCCGCGCCGGACCGCGCCAGGGCCACGAAGGCCGCCCCGAGGGCGCCGTCGTCCAGGGCGCAGGTCGTCGCGAGGCCGAAGGCGGCGACGGCGAGCGTCGCGCGGAAGTCGGGAAACGCGGCGGCCGCGAGGAGCCACGCGCCCAAGAAACTCCCGCCGCGGCCGTGGGGGAGCCCCGCGTGGGCCAGCAGGTCCTCGTCGTCGTCGTCGTCGCGGCGCGCGACGTCGGGCGCCAGGGCGGCGTCGAGCGCGGCGGCGTCGACGGCCGCGAACGCGCGGTGCTTCTTCGGCGACGGCGCGACGGGCGGCGCCCCTCGACGGTCGTCGACGAGCGCGCTAACGCCGCCGCAGAGGGCGTCGAAGGTCGCGAGGGCGCCGTAGTCCGCGCCGTCGACCGCGCGGCGCTGGCAGAAGACGTGCCACGCCTGCGACTCGAAGATCCGTTGGCGGAGCGGCGACGGTACGCGCGCGGCTTCGAACCGGTCCACGGAGAAGAGGGGCTCGCGGCGCGCGTTGCGGTCCCGGCCCGTGCGGTAGTCGTCGGGGAACCGCGGCGGCCGCAGCGCCGCGGCGTAGCCGGAGAGGAGCGACGCGAGGCACGCGGCCGCGGCCGCGCGGATCGCGAAGACGTCCGGGACGCCCGACGCGGCGGCCGCCTCCCACGCGCGGACCAGCGTCCGTCGTTCGAGCCGAGGCAGGAGGCGCAGGAGGCACGCGCCGCCGTCGCCGTCGTCGTCGCTCGAATCGTCGTCGGAGTCGCCGCGCGCGTCCGTCGAGTCCGCCGCGCAGGAGTAGCGCGACGACACGCGGGGCCGCCGCCGCGCCTCGAGGTCCGCGTCGGCCTCGGCCGCCGACGGCAGGAAGCCGCGGCCGTCGAGGTCCAGGACGTTCGCGTCGTCGCACTCCGCGAGGGCGGCCCGCCAGTCGTCGCCGTCGACGACGCCCGCGAGGATCGCGCAGGGCGACTCGACGGCGCAGCTCAGCGACGGCGGGAGCCTCGGCACGAAGGCGTGCTGCCAGCCCAGGGGCCAGAGCAGCGCGTGGAGCGCGTCCGCGCCCCGCACGGCGCGGCCGTCCAGAGCCGACGCGACGACGACCTTGCGCTCGGAGAGCAGGCAGACCCAGGCCGCGGCGACGCTCCGCGGCGACGCGAAACGAAAGAGCTCGACGACGGCGTCGGCGTCGCCGGGCGGCAGGGCGCCGTACTTGCACGTCGCGCGGGGGAGAGCAACAGTCGCGCCGCCGACGCGTAACATCGCCGGGTGGCGCCGCGGCAGGGGCGTCGACAGGAGCGCGACGAGGGCCCGGTCCCGCTCGCCGGGCGCGAGGGCGACGAGCGCCGCCAGCGCCGCCCGCAGCGCGGGCGCGACGCCCGCGGCCGCGGAGAGCAAGAACGTCGCCCTCGGCGCCCAGACCGCCGCCTCCGCGCGGCTCGCGGCCCGCGGCCCGCGGCGGCGGCGCGGCGGCGGCGCCGTCGATGCGCGCGACGCGGTAGGCGTAGCGCGCCGCGCGCGCCGCGTCGCCGTCGCGCGTCGCGCGGTCGAGGCGCCGCTCGTAGACCTCGCGCGTCTTCGACGCGTCGCGCTGCTTCGCGAGGTTGGTGAGCTTCCAGCCCTCGTCGTCGGCCGCCGTGCGCGCGGCGCCGAGGCGCCGCCCGAGCTTCGCGGCGCTCCGCGCGCGCTTCGCCGCCTCCGCGTCGCGCGCCGCGGCGGCGACGGGCGCGCGCGCGGCCGCCGCGAGGCGCGCCACGTCCGCGCCGTCGAGGGCGTCGTACTCGATGAGAGCGCAGCCCCGGAGCCGCGCGCCGTCCGGGAGCGTCTGCGCCCACTCGACGACGCGCCCCTCGGGCCGCGCCGCGCGGTCGTCGGACGCCTCGACGCACGCCAATCCCCGGTCGGGGAAGCAGAAGGCCGCGGCGCCGGCGCAGGCCTCGCCGTGGACCGACGCGTAGGTGTCGAGCAGCCGCGGCGCCCAGCGCGCGTCGCCGACGGCGCCCGCGCCCGCGGCGCGGCGCACGGCGACGCGCGAGCCGTCGGGCAGCGCGTCGCCGCCGACGTCGTAGCCCGCGTCGCGAGCCGCGCCGACGTCGCCGGCGGCGACGATGATGACCCCGACGACGGGCCGCTCGCCGTCGCCGCAGCGCCGCACGGCGAGCCGCGCGCCGCGCGCGGGGTCCTCGCGGGTTTTTCGGTTCTCGGACGCCATGACGACGTGGCCCTTGGGCGGGCCGCCGGGCCCCGCGGCGACGACGGCGGCGACGGCGGACCGGTCGTCGTCGCGCCGGCCCCGCGCGCCGCGCCGCCGGACCCAGGCGCACACCGGCGCGACGTCGCCGCGCAACGTGCGCACGGCCTCGTCGCGCGAGCTGCTGCGGTCCCCGACGTAGACCGCCGTGATCTCCTGGGCCCGCGTGCGCACGACGCCCGCGCCGCCGTCGACGAGCTGCGGCGCGCCGAGGTCCAGCCCGCAGACGCCGTAGCCGCACGCCACGGTCTGCATCGTCTCTTGTTTCAGCTGCCGACGGCCGTCCTGCTGAAGCTGCTCCTCGGCTCGGACGACGCGCTCCTCGTGACCACCTACGTCGTGCGGCCGGGCGCCACGAAGACGTACCAGGCGAAGATGGCGGCGATCTACGTGCTCATGATGAATGAACAGACGCGCTTTAAACCATCATGATTCGTGTGTGATGTGGGCTGCTGCTCCTTGCTGTGCAGCGTGCACTGTTGATTGAAATCGGCGATTCGCTTTCAGGCAATTCCCTCAGTGATCCTCTTCATCGAGTAGCTCGCGGGTCCTCGCTCGTACCGGAACGCGACGATCGACGACGAGACGACGGCGTCGGACACCTACGACGATGGACGACGCCTTCGCGAATCTCACGCTCGGCGAGGAGCTCGGCCGCGGCGGCTTCGGCGTCGTGCGGCGCGGCAAGACGAACGGCAGGGACGTCGCCGTGAAGGTCATGGACCTCGAAGCGCTCGAGGAAAAGCACCCCGACGCCGTCGCGACGCTCGTGCGCGAGGTGACGGTCATGCGCGGGCTCGACCACGCGAACATCCTCAAGCTCTACGCCTGGCGCCGCGACGACGACGAGCGCCGCGAGATGGAGATGATCCTCGAGCTCTGCGAGGGCCCCGCGCTCTCGGAGGTCATCGACGCCGCGGGCGCGGTGGGCGAGGCCGCGGCGCGGCGCGTCGGCCGCCAGGTCGTCGACGCGGTCGTCTACCTGCACGAGCGGCAGATCATCCACCGCGACCTCAAGACCGAGAACGTCATGCTCGCGGAGCCCCTCGCGCGCGCGCCGCTTTCGGCCTGCCGCGTCAAGCTCATCGATTTCGGCCTCGCGCGCCTGCTGCCGAGCGCGGCGCCGACGTCGCTCCGGGAGATCAAGCGGTCGATCCGCGGATCGAAGCGCCCCCGGCCGTCGGCGCTCCTGAAACGGTCCATCTCCACGGTGGGCACGCGCGGCTTCTCGCCGCCGGAGCTCGTCTTCGCCCACGCGCAGACGGTGGCCATGGACGACGCGCACGCGTACGAGATCGACGCGTTCTCGCTCGGGAAGGTGCTCCGCCACATGCTCACGGGCGTGTCCCCCGAGCTCACGATCATGCAGGGCCTCGAGGCGCAGGGCACGGACTGCGGGTGCTTCAAATTGGGCAAGATCGTGAAGATCGTGTCGCCGGCGAAGCTCTCGGACGACGCGCGGGACCTCATGGCCCGCCTCGCCGCGGACGCGGACGACCGGCTCTCCATCGCCGGCGCGCGCGACCACGCCTTCTTCAAGGAAGAGTAGATACACATAAAAGTTAGGAGCACGCGTCGACGTCCACGGTCGTCGCCGCGCCCTGCGCGTTCGTCACCGTGAGCGTGAGGGGCCCCGTGAGCGCGGAGACGTCGACGGCCGCCGCCGTGTCGCGCCAGTAGGCCGCGAGCTCGAAGTCGCCGGCGACGGACTTGGCGCGGCGCGCGGGCCGCTCGACGACGTCGTAGGTCGCGGCGTACTTGTTGGGCCTCTTGAAGGCGTCGGCGGCGGTGAAACTCAGCGTCGAGCCGGCGCAAGTCGCGTTCCAGACGAGGGGCGCGGCGTAGAAGCGCTCGGCGGAGTAGGACGTCCAGCGGTCCGTGAGGCCCTTGTCGCAGTCGGCCGCGGAGCGGCACTTCGCGCCGACGACCTTGAGCTCGTAGACGACGTCGCCCGTCGCCCGGACGACCTCGAGGGCGCGGACGTCGTACTGGTCGTCGACGTCGACCTGGTCGGGCCAGTGGACGCCGAACTGGTTCGACGTGGGCAGCCGGTCGTTGTCGCCGAAGTGGGGCGTGTAGGCGCCGAGATCCTTGGAGAAGGTCACGGCGGCCTTGGAGCGGTGGTAGTCGAGCTCCACGCACAACAGGCGCGAGTCGGCGCCCGTGCCCTCCTGGTTGTCGAAGAGGCAGTACTCGTCGTCGCCGACGTACTCCGCGTTGTGCTGGCCGACCCAGAGCGACGACCCCGCGGCGTAGTGGTCGTCGCCGAAGGTGACGTTGAAGTCGCCGTTGGGCCCGCCCAGGGTCCACAAAACGGTGCCGTCGGTCTTCATCTTGACGACGCCGTCCGTCTGGCGGCTCGAGACGTAGGCGACGGCGTCCTCGTCCGTGACCTGGACGTGGTTCGGGTCCTCGACGTCGACCTCGGCGAAGGACGCCACGACGGCGCCGCTGGCCACGTCCCAGGCCTCGACGGCCGTGCGGCCGTCGGCCTGCCAGAGTTGGGAGCCGTCGTAGGACAGCTGGAGGTCGTGCGCGTCGTTCGACCCGCCGGCGCAGAGGATCGTCCACGTGTCTTCCACGAAATTCCAGATGGCGCGGGGGCCCTTGTTCGCGTTCGCGCCGAGGGCGACGAGGAGGCTCGAGGCGTTGTAGACCTTGAGGCCCCGGGGGCCGTAGGTGTTGGCGTAGTCGACGACGACGACGTAGGACGCCTTGTTGCCGGAGCTCAGCGACAAAGCGACCCAGCCGCCGAGCGCGCTCCGGCCGATCGCGCCCTCGATCTCGGCGCCCGCGTTGCGAAACGTGGCCGTCAGTTGTCGCGGCACGTAGTCGTACAGGTCCGCCGCCGCGACGCCCTTGAGGTCGAGCATCTCGACGACGGCGGGGAAGGCCAGGAACGCCGACGCGTCCAGCGCCACCGTCGACGCGAGCGTTTTGCCGGGCGGGGCCGCGAACCTGATCCAGCGGTCCGCGGCGGAGCGCACGGCGGACCGGGGGTCGATGAGCAGCGAGCGGAACGACGCCGCCACGACGCAGGCCAGGCCGCCCAGGGCCACGGCGGACCCGGCAGCCCAGCGCGGCCGTCTGGGGTGGCCGCCCATCTCGTCACCAAAACTATGGCTCACCTGGGTCGAAGGTGCTGCAATGTGGGCCCAGCCTTGTGCTCTCGATAAGCTCTCGCGCCCGCGTCTAGCGCCCGCGTGCAGTCAGGCGCCGAGAGAGTGCGGCCGACCGATCGGTCGCTGAATCCCACTTCGCGAAGTTCCCTGCTTCGTTTGCTATATACCCAGGGGCTTACTCATCGTCCGCGAGGTGCGCGAGCGCGACGCCCGCTGGTCGCGTCCGTTTCGGCTCGGCGGCGGCGGCCGGCGCCGCGCCGCCGCCGGCCGGCCGCCGTCGCTTCTTGAACGTCGGCTTCGACGGGGCCGTCGGCTCGTCCTCCTCCGCGGCGTCGCCGCGTTTGCGCCGCCGGAGGTCGTCGAGGAAAGAGAGCGCCGCGGCGCGTTCGGTGCCAGCGTCGACCTTGTCGCCGAGCTCGTAGAGGGTGTAGCCCTGCTTCGGCGGCGGCGCGCCCCGCGCGCCCCGCGCCTTCTTCCTCGGGCGGCGGGCGGCGGGCGCTCGGGCTGGCGCGGGCGGCGGCGACGGCGCGCGGAGCGAGTGGTTCAGCGAGCCGAAGACGTCGTCGAGCCGCGCCGTGTGGTTTGCCTTGCCGGAGTGCCCCGCCTCGATGCGCGACGGCGGCGGCGCCTCCGGCGCGATGGACGTGAACAGCGATTGTAATCTTGCCTCGCAGGCGCTGGCCTTCGCCTTTTTGGGCGCCGTGCTCGCGGCGCTGGCCTTCGTGGCATCCAACAGCAATCTCGACGCAGCCATGGGGCCGCGCGCGCGCGTGCGCGCCTTGTATTGGTCCTCGTCCATCACGGCGCGGCTCAGCAGGCCGTCCTGGCGCCGCCCATAAGCCGGTCCTGCCACAGCACGATGCACTCGCCGATCACGACGCCGCCGGCCTCGTCGGCAGCCGCAGCCTCGCGTGCACCAGCGTCCCGGATCGCTCCCACTCCCCCATCCCGAGGACGAGCAACACCTCCTTCCAGAGCGGTTCATCGACTGCCTTTGACGGGGAAAAACTATCAAATAAACTGCTGAGGGGCCGCGCGACGCGCCCGTCGCCCGCGCCGCAAGCATACAATACGCGAGTCGCCACCGCCGCAGGCGCCATGGCCACGATCCCGCCGGGCGCCACGGTCGCGGTCACGGGCGCGTCGGGCTTCATCGGCAGCCACGTCGTCGAGGCTTGCCTCAAGGCGGGCTACGTCGTCCGCGCCTGCGTCCGCGACCCGTCGAACGAGGCCAAGGTCGCGCACCTCGAAGCGCTCGCGGCCAAGCACGGCGGCGCGGTCGAGCTCGCGCGCGGCGACCTGCTCGAGGCCGGGTCCTTCGACGCCGCGTTCGACGGCGCCGCGGCCGTCGTCCACGTCGCGGCCGTCGTCGAGATCCTCAAGGTCTCGGACCCCGTGCGCGACATCGTCGACCCGTCCCTCGAGGGCTGCCGCAACGTCCTGGCGAGCGTCGAGAAGCACCTGGCGACGATCAAGAAATTCGTCCACACGTCCTCGTGCATCGCCGTCGCGGCCGTCGACTCGAAGGGCGGCGGCGCGACGTACGACGAGGCCGACTTCAACGGCTGGTCCACGGTGGAGACGGACCCCTACGGCTTCGCCAAGTCCTCCGCGGAGGCGCTGGTCCGGGAGGCGTGCGAGACGATGGCGCTGCCGCTCGCGACGTTGAACCCGGGCGTGACGCTCGGGCCGTGCTTCACGAAGCAGCACACGAAGGCGTCGACGGTGCTGCTCCGCGAGCTGCTCTACGGCAACAAGATGCTCAACTACAACTGCTGCTTCGTCGACGTCCGCGACGTCGGCGCGGCGCACGCGCGGCGAGATGCGGCGTCGATGATTAGAATCAATAGGTCAAGTCTGAGCCTTTTTGGCCGTGACGACTTCATTTATAGTAGACATGAGACACGGTTGTGACGCTCCCACATCCTAGGTGCCTGTCGATGCCCGCCACGGGCCGCCACCTCCTCGTGAACGATGCCGGCGTCATGAACACGCTCGACCTGGGCGCCGTCGCGAGGGCCGCGTGCCCGCAGTGGAAGACCGTAGCGGCGCCCATGTACGCGCCGGCGCTCATCGCCGCGCTGCGCGTGGTCTACGACGCGCCGCTCGTCGGGCCGTCCCTCGCGGGTCTGGCGGGCATCACGGAGTTCAAGCTCCGCGTCTTCGAGGAGAAGATCCCCTTCTCGAACGCGCGCGCGAAGCGGAGCCTCGTGCTCGCCTTCGTGCCCCTCGTCGACACGGTCCGCGACGCGATGGCGTCCATGGTCGAGGGGGGCTGGGTCAAGGCGAAGGCGGCGTAATATAAACACGATTTACTTCGAAGCGGCGTCGAGCCGCGCGGCGCGCGCGGCGAGCTTCGCGGTGACGTCGGGCGCGCAGCGCCGGCAGCACCGCGTCACGTCCCCGACGAGCGTCGCGCAGAGGGCCTGCTCCCGCGGCAGCGGCCGCGGCGGGGCCTCGCCGAAGGCGCGGAACGTCGCGAGCGGCGGGTCCGCGGCCGCCAGCGCGAACGGCAGCGAGATCTGGTCCCGGTACTGCCAGCGCCGCACCTCGAGCCACCAGGCGTCGAACAGGGCCGACGCCGCGGGCCGCCGTCTCGCGGCGAAGAAGGCCGCCCAGTAGAGGCCGCGGTCGTCGTTCCAGCCGGCGGACGCGGCCGTAGGCGGCCCGCTGCGCCTCGAGGCGCGCGCGGAGCGCGCGGAGCCGCGGCGGCGCTTGTGGCTCGAGGCAGTGGTCCAGCTCCTCCGCGGAGGAGTTGCGCTGCGGGTGCGGCTCGAGCGCGAGCGCCGCGCGCGGGTCTCGCCGAAGGGCCGCAGCGCGCGCGCGACGACCGAGGCGTCGAACGCGAGCGCCGCATCCGCCCACACAAAGATCTCGAAGCGCTTCAGGACGTCGAACCGTAGGAACTGGAGCTTGACGAACTTGGCCGCCATGACGTCCGGCAGGCTCTGGGCCCCGGCGTGCTCGGGCGCGAGCGCCGTCCGCGCCGTGTGGCCCAGCGACGCGAGGTCGAAGGGGAGCGGCGCGTCTTCGCCGCGGTAGGCGCCTATCGCGGGCCCGCCGCCGCGGTAGGCGCCGCGCGCGGTCCGCAGCGCCGCGGCCCAGGTCCGCGAGTAGGCCGTCGCGTCGCGGCCGACCATGTCGGCGGGCGTCGCGGCGCCGGCCGCGGGCAGCACCGTCGTCCACCCGGCCGCGCGCGTCCGCTCCGCGACGAAGAGAAGGAACGCCGGCGCGCAGCCTCTCTGTCGCGGCGCGGGACCGACGACGTCCGCGGCGCCGAGGTTTGCCGAGATGACGGCGACGGCCGCGCCCGCGGCGCAGGGGTGGGAGCGGGCGAGCGGCCACGCGAGCGGCGGCGGCGACGGGGGCCAGGGATCGCCCCGCGACCAGGCTCGCGGCGGCGCGCGGCAGCGCGGCGGCGGTCGTCGGAGGAGCAGGGGGAGGAACGCGAGGCAGGCGATCGCGGCGACGCGGCGCCGGCCCCGGCCGGCCGCCGCGGCGGCGGCGGCGGCGACCGCGACGCCGTACGCGGTCGACAGGCCCGCGAAGTCGGGCCCGCACGGCGAGGCCTCGCTTCGCCTTCCGTCGACGCCGCGCTTCGTCTTCTTCTCCCGCAGGTCGAAGAGCTCGTCGGCCGCGAGCGGCGCGCGCTCGGCGCCGACGGCGCAGGTGTGGCGGACCAGGCGCTTCGCGAACTTCTCCGACGCGGACGCGAGCGAGGCGCAGGGGTCGCCGACCGCCGCCGCGTCCGCGGGGAACTGGGCCTCGAAGAGCGCGCCGAGCGAATCGGCGACGTCGACGTCCGCCATGGCCGTGCGCTCCGGGCCGCGGGCGAAGGCGACGAGCGCGGAGAAGGACGAGAACGGCGACCCGACGAAGCGGTCCGCGGCCTCGGCGACGCGCGAGTCGACCATCGAGGCCAGGTCCTCGCCACCAAAGGCCGCGGCCCAGTCGACGCCCGGGAGCAGCGACGTCTTCGCGTAGAGCGTCGGCATTCCGGGGATGCCGCGGAGCTCGCCGAGCCGCGCGCGCGAGACGTCGCCGACGAGGAGCGCCGCGCGGCACGGGTCGAGCGCCCGGACCATCGCGGCCCGGTACGCGTCGCGGTCGAGCGCGTGCTCGGAGCGGACGAAGTCGTCCTCGTCGCGCCAGTGCGCGACGCACGCCTCGTCGACGTCGTCCCCCTCCCGGAAGGCGTCGAGGACCCGCGCGGCCGCGGCCGCGGCGGCGGACGAGGGCGCGAACGCGCGGTGCGCGCGCCGGAGCGCCGCCGCGGCCGCGGGCGAGTCGGGGAGGAGGTGCGTGCAGCAGTGGCCGGGGTCGCCGAAGCCGACGTAGGGGTGTGTGCCGACGAAGCGGTTCACCAGTTTGCGCGACCGCGCGACGTCCGACGCCGCGACGGGCCAGCGGAACGGGATCGCGAGCGCGTCCGCGCCGTCCGGCGGGGGGTCGCGGACGCAGATCCCCGCGGCGGCCAGGGCGCCGAGGGTCTGCTCGCGGTCGAAGACGGACCAGAAGTCCGTGCCGTTGTCGTAGTCTCGGTAGCAGTCGCTCGCGTAGTGGCACCCGTTTCGCGAGAAGAGCGTCCGCGGGAGCGACACCGCGTAGCCCAGGAGCTGCGCCATGGCGACGTCCTGGACGATGCGCATGCGTTGGTTACGAGAGGCCTTTTTTTACCGCCGGCACGACGACCGTCGGGCCGTCGCCGCAGTCGCCGGCGACGGCGGCGGCGAGCCATGCGAGGAGGGAGGCGGTCGTGCTCATCGTCGATCGTCCTAATGCTTACGACCGGTCGCCTGCCATCGATGACGACCGGTCGCGGCGCATGATGATGCGACGAGGTGTTTTAAGGCGTGCGCGGTCCCGTCCAAGCCGATGGACCGAAGTAAATTTAAGCGGCGACGCCCGAAAAGGCCGATCACGGCCGTAGCCGACGGCCAGGGTGCGCTCGGATCGGTACGAGACGTGCGCCATTGATCCCGCGGAGCCACGTCTCTCGAAGCCTGAACCGGACCCACACACGCCTGGTCCACGTGCACCGAGCCGCCTAGATTCCCCGCGCGCCGCGCGTCCCCGGACCCCCGGCCGCCGCAAAGATTCATGAGCACAACCTTGCACCCGTTGTTGATCAACAGCGCGCTGCTGGTTCGGGCAGCCTAGCCGCGCGCCGCGCCCCGCCGCGCCGCCCGCGCCGCGCCTCGCCCGCCCGCCCGGCGCCGGCGGGCCGCCCGCGACCGCAGCCATGCCGCCGAAGAAGGACAAGAAGGCGGACTTCGCCGACGACGGCGACCCGGGCATGAACCCCGACGCGTTCAAGACGAACTACACCAAGTTCTGCAAGCTCATCGCCGTGCCGGCGAACCAGAAGATCGTCGACCAGCTCACGGACGAGGAGAAGCTCGAGGCCTTCATGAAGCACAACCAGCTCGTCGTCGACGACGAGTTCGGCGCGTTGGGGCCGCACGGCACGCGCGCGCTCTGCACGGCGATCATGGGCTCGGGCACGGGCATGAACGGCGCGCAGTGCAAGCTCGTCAAGAGTTTGCGGCTCTGGCGGTCGAACGTGTCCGACGACGGCGCGGCGTGCATCGCGGAGCTGCTGCGGCTGGGCGGGGCCGAGGTCGCGATCTCGTACCTCGAGCTGCTCGACAACGGCATCGGCGCGCGCGGGGCGCGGTCCCTGGGCCAGGCGCTGACCTACGGCATGAACCGGAGCCTGCTGACGCTGAAGCTGGACTACAACAACTCGCTGGGCTCCGAGGGCGTCGTCGCGCTCTGCCGGGGGCTGCGGACGAACTCGACGCTCAAGCAGCTCCACCTGCCCTACTGCAACATCGACGCGGACGGCGGCGGGCCGCTGGGCGAGATGCTGTCCTACCGCCAGCTCACGCTGAACCTGCTGAATCTCCAGGGCAACCACCTCGGCGGCGGCGGCCTGAGCGGCATCTGCGACGGCCTGAAGGCGAACGTCACGCTCGGGTCGCTGTCCGTGGCCGACAACGGCATCGCCCAGACCGACGAGGACATCGCGGCCCTCGAGCAGCTCGCGACCATCATCATGAAGCCCGAGAGCGTGCTGGGGTCCGTGGACATGCTCTACAACCGCATCGGCGAGAAGGGCGCGAACGCGATGCTCTTCATCTTCAACGGCGGCAAGGCCGAGGGCAAGGGCGCGCCCTCCAAGGTCAAGCAGCTCCTCGTCGACTCGACGCTGCCCCAGCAGCTCTTCGACCACCTCTGCCGCATCGACGCGGCCGGCGGCGGCAAGAAGAAGAAGGGCAAGAAGGGCAAAAAAAAGAAATGAGCGTCGAGCGTCGGCGCGTCGAGCGTCGACGCGCTGGGAGCGCTGGTAAACCGCGAAGTGGGGAGCCCGCCGTCCGCGGCTCGCGGGAGACGGCCGCGGTTCGCGGCCGCGGCTTCGCGGCCGCGTTCCGGCGGTCGCCCGGTGGGACGTACCGGGAGCGGTGCCTCCCGCCGTCGATCTGGTAATTTTTGGCGACCCGGCTGACAATCCTCCCAGGGCTTCCTCCCTGCCTTGCGCCGCTCCCTCGAGTCTGCAATCGCCGTTTTCCACAACACAGTACAACACCCACTCGATCGAGAGGGAGAGAGACACGCGTCGATATACAAAGGCGATCGCCTAGCCCACCTCCTCGCGTTGCACGCGTGCTTTCGTAGTCATCATGCCCATCGACTACTCGAAATTTGACCGAATTGGAGATTCTGAATCCGACGAAGAGGTCGAGGGACGGGCTCGCCTCCCGAAGGGATTGCAAGGGCTGTCGGTCGAAGAATTATTGGATTACGCGAAGCGCCGCGAATCGCAAGCCGAAGCCGAGCGCGCGAACTCGAGCCCCCCCGACGCCGTCGAGCGCAAAGATGAAGAGACCGCCGACGCGCGCGCGAGCGACGGCCGCCCAAGTTCCCGTCGCCTGCGCTCGCTGTCCGGTATCCCGCAGTACGAAACGTTCCAGGCGGGCTTCCTTGGCGGGCTCTTTGAGACGGAAAGAGGGTCGATCGAATTCGACGAGGCTACGGGACTGCTTGCGATGATCAAGATGACCGATCTGGATCCTGAGCATCCGTTCGGCGATCTGGTTTTGAGGAACGACCAGGCGAAAGCGTTTCTCGAAGAGCTGTACGACTCGTGTTGGATGAAGAAGCAACAGATCCAGATTGCCTTGGAGTGGTACGCGTCCTGGTCAAGTACACACGCACCATGAGGGGCCATGAGGGGACATTGCCCAAGACGCGCGCGCGGCGAAAATTGCTCGAGTAGTAACCGCGGCGCGTAGATTAACAACGATTTGCTACGTCGTGACGGCCTTAGGCCTTTCCGCGGCGACGCCCATGAGATGCTCGATGGTCTCGCAGGACGTGGCGCTGAACCTGGCGCACGGGCTCTACACGAAGGGGTCGAACCCGCCGCTGGTCCTCGCGGTCGCGGGCGACTTCGAGCGCCTCGACGGCGGACGCGAGCTTTCTCTGAGAGCCTAAAGCATGCCGCGATCGATCCTACCGGGCGCGCGCGCGTCGCCGTCGAGGCGCCCGGGCGCGCTCGGAACGTCGCCGCTAGGCGCCGCGCCGCCGCGGGCGCCGGGACGCGCGGCCCGCCGCGGTCCAGGGCGCCCAGTAGAGGTTCCGGTCCGAGACGGGGAACCGCGCGCGCTGCCGGTGCGCGGCCCGGACGCGCATCGCGCGGCGGCGCGCGGCCTCGGCCGCGGAGTCGAGGCCCGCGTCCAGGAGGCAGGCCTCGAGCCGCTCCGGGACCTGCGCCGCCCAGCGGGCGTCGAGCGTGCCGTCGCCGAGCCAGGGCTTGTCGCGGCCCGTGAGGTGGACGATGCCCGGCCGCTCGACGCAGGCGTCGCGCAGCGGCAGCGCGCGCGGCGCCGCGGGGCAGTTCCAGCGCGCGTCGAGGCGCTCGAAGTCGCCCGCGACCGCGAGGACCAGCGGCGGGTTCGACCCCTTCGTGTAGAGCCCGTGCGCCAGGTTCAGCGCCATCCACTCGAGCGTCGTCGCCGTGAGGTTCCGCGCGTCCCACTCGGCCAAATCGACGACGACGACGCCCGCGTTGAAGTCGTCGATGAAGGTCTGGGGGCGGCGGCGCTGCGTCGTGTTGACGCCGACGCCCCGCGCGCTCAGCGCCGCGCGCGCGGCGGGGTCCGTCGTCACGGACGGCGCGAGGCGGAGCTTCCGGCCATCGCCGCGCGGAACGGCCGCGACGGCCGGCGCGCCGCCGGCGAGCGCGGCGTCGACGAGCTCCGCGACGTCGCCGTGGACGATCGTGTCCGTGTCGAGGTACAGGACCTTGCCCCGCACGTTTTTGAGGACGTCGCCGAGGAAGAAGCGCGCGTAGTTGAGCCTGGGCAGCATAAGAGTGATTCAACGTCGCTTCAACGCGAGCGTTCCGCGCGCGCGCGTTACAGAAAACACATCGGAGCCTTTGAAGTTGAGAATTTCGCTCTCTTTTCCTGCCCTGAGTCGAGCGGCGCCAAGAGCCGCTCGTCGCCGGGCCGCGTCCGCCGCGGCAGCGCCAGGGGCGCCTCGAACGCGTGGACCTCGACGGCGAGCGTCGGGAGCGCGCAGGCGACGACGTCCCGCACGAGTGCCGCGTCCGCCGGCACCGAGACGACGTGGACGCGGACGCGGCCGATCGAGGCCGTCGCGTTCGCGAGCGAGGCGAGCGCGACGACGAGGCCGGGCAACACCTCCAGGTCCGAGGCGAAGGCGACGTGAATAGGCGGCGGCGGCGATAGTGTGGCCGCGGCCGCGGCCAGGAGCGCGGCGAACGGCGCCAATCGCATGCGTCTTCGTCGCGAAAACGTTTCGGCTCGAGCGGCGGCTCCTCTTCTGCGACGCTTTTGCGTTCTCCGCTCTCGTGTCGAGACGAGAGTGGGTACCGACGATACTCTGGTGTCTCGACGAGAGTGTGACGGGCGCTGGCGCGGTGGACGAGGCGCGCGATAATCGCGACAGGCGAATGACTGGACCCGAAATTTTCGCGTTCGCCGACTGTGCGGCGCCATCACGTCCACCAGCCCACTGCGCGGCGCCTTCACATCCACCAGCAACCACTGCGCGGCTCCTTTACGTCCACCAGCAACCACGGCCACAAAATTAGACCTAAAATTACGACTCGTCAAACAGCTCCCCCACGAGCCCCACGATCTCCGCGAGCTCCCGCTCGCCGACGTCGTAGGTGCCCGTGTAGAGGCTCGTGCACGTTTTCGCCGCGCGGTAGGGCAGGCCGAGCGCGGCCGCCGCGTGTTTGTAGACCTTGTTCGCGTGGTGCTTCACGGGCAGCTCCACCACCCGCGCGCCCGCCCTCGCGAAGACGAGGTTCGCGAGGGCGGCGCCGTGGGGCGCCACGACGATCACGGCCCGGCGGAAGAGGGCCGCCTGGTCCGCGAGCGCGCCCGTCCCGTCGTGGACGACCCAGGCGAGCCCCGGCGTCGACGCCCGCAGCGCGTCGAGGAGCGCCGCCTCGCCTCGCACGGCCCGGTGGCCGTCGCGCCGGCAGTAGAGCCCGACGTCGCCGCCGGCCGCGCCGGCGCCGAGGCCCGCGAGCGCGGCCCGCAGCCCGACGAACGCCGCCGCGGGCGGCGTGTCGAAGTCCCACAGCGACCGCCGCCGCGCGTCGACGCGCGCCGTCGCCGCCGCGTCGAGGACGTAGCAGCCGCCGGGCAGGCGGAGCCGCGTCGCGCAGTCGTAGGTCCGCCAGCGTTCGACGCCCAGAGCCGCGAAGCACGCGGCGTACGCGTCCGCGGCGCGCGACGCCGGCACCTGTGTGCAAATCAACCGCTGGTTTCGGACGTCCCGACCAAACTTTGAAATTCTCTAGCTCGATCAAATCGAAGTCGATTCGGCTGATGTTTGGACGTATCGATTGCTCTCGTCGAGGTCTCGAAGCACAGCGAAAGTTCTTGGGTCAACACATTCGAATACGTGAACATTGAAGTCGGGTTGAAGATTTGATTTCCACACCGGCCGGCACAAAGAACGTCGCGCCCGCGGGCACCGCGCCGCCGCGGACGAGCGCCGCGACCTTGGCGACGTACCTGTGCGGTGCAAACTGGGGATCGGGCGGGGAACGCTTCATAAACGCCGAAGGGGTACTCGAGTAAGAAATGGTAGTGGTTCCCGGGCTTCGTCGCGAAGACGAAGATCGCGGCCGACGGCGCGTCGACCCCCGCCGCGTCGAGGAACGGCGCCGCGTCGACGTCGCCGTCGCAGCCCGGGACGTGCGGGAAGCCCTCGCCCCGCCGGCCCGCGTAGAGCGTGGCGTCGTCGTAGACCGCGGGGTTCGGGCCGAGCGCGGACGCGGGGCCGGGCACGCGCGCGAGGACGACGGTGTCGTCCTCGAAGACGGGGGCCGCCTACGACCGACGGTCGAACGCTCAAATTTAACGACGACGCACCCAGTCCTCGGCGAGGTCGAGCCCGAGGCGCGCCGCGGCCCGTTCCGCGGACCGCCTGTGCCGAATTCAACCACTGGTTTGGGTGGTCCTGACCAAACTTGAGAATTCTCTAGCTCGGTCACATCGAAGTCGATTCGGCTGATTTTTGGACGAATCGATTGCTCTCGTCGAGTTCTCGAAGCACGGCCGAAGAGCTTGCGTCGAAACTGTCGCATATGCGCACATTGAAGTCGGGTTGAATATTTGAATTCCACACAGCGGACCGCTTCCGGAGGTCGAAGCCGCGCGTCGACGTCGGATCGCCGAAGAGGCTGTAGGAGTGCGCCCGCCGCAGGTCGCCCGCGGCGACGGCGGCGTCGACGGCGGCGCCGTAGCGCCCGGCGAAGTAGAGGCAGGACGCGGCCTCGCGCGCGAGGGCCGCGTGCTTCGGCGCGGCCGCGCGCAGCCAGCCGAACCTGCGCGGGAAAAGAGAGATTCAACTTCGCTTCAACGTGAGTGGTCCGCGCGCGCGCGTTCCCGAAAAAGCAGCCACGCGACGAGCACGCTCCGAGGGATGATCGCTCGTCCATAAATCAGCCGAAACGAGTGGGAAACGGCCGAGAGAGGAGCCTTGGAAATTTCGCGCGCTCGTCCCGCCCCGAGCCGAACAATCGGAACGCGTCCGCGTAGCGGCCCTCGGCCTTGGCGAGGCGCGCGCCGACGACCACGAGATCCCGCGCGTCCGGCGGCGCGGACGCGCAGCGCGCGTAGCGCCGCAGGGCCGCGTCGGCGGCCGCCGCCGTCGCTTCGGCCGCGCGCGCGAACGCCGGCGCCGCGAGCGACGGCGCCGCGGCCGCGGCGTCGTCCTCGGCGTCGTCGAGCACGCGGGCGACCCAGGCCGCGGCGTCCCCGGCGTCCAAAGCGGCGCCCGCGGCGTCGGCGGCGGCGACGGCCGCCTCAGCGCGCGCGAGCGCGTCCGCGGGAGTCTCGTCGTCGTCGGTCGAGTCGTCGGCGTCGACCTCTCGCAACACCCCGCGGAGCCAGGCCGGCGCGCGGGGCAGGGGCCGCCCGAGCTCCGTCACCGACGAGCTCGCCGCGTGGACGGCGCGGCACGCCACGGGGTCGTCCCCGGCGTCGCGGAGCGCGCGGACGACGCGGCCCTTCGAAGCGGCCGCGGCGACGAACGCGTAGTCCTCGCCGCAGTGCCGCGCGTCGTCGAAGGGGCTGGCCAGGGCGAGCGATCGCAGGTAGACGTAGGACCAGCCGTAGCCCCAGAAGTAGGACCGTCGCGCGGCGTCGGAGACGGCCGCGGGCGCGGTCCCGAGCGAGCCTCCGCCGGCGTCTCTTAACGGCTCGTAGAGGGACAACGCGTTGGTCCGCGCGTCCACGCAGGCGAAGGTCGACAGCTTGACGAGGGACGCGGCGCCGGCCCGCAGCGCGCCGACCATGGCGGACAGGTAGCGCGGTCCGTAGTAGTCGTCGTCGTCGAAGTGGGCTACTACTTCGCCGCGCGCGTCGCGGACGAGCCGGTTGCGCTTCGCGCCGAGGGGCGCGTCGTCGCGTGCGTGCGCGTAGCGGACGCGGGCGTCGCGCGCTGCGACGTCGCGCCAGAAGGGCGACGGGGTTCCGCCCGTCTCGAAGACGAGGAGCTCCCTGCGCGCGTAGGTCTGGCGGCAGAAGCTGGCGTAGGCCGTTTCGAAGGCCCAGGCCCGCGACGGCGTCGTCGGACAGATGCAGGAGACGAGCGGCGCGTCGTCTACATCGGTCGGCGGCGGCGCGAGCGGCGCGTCGACCAAGGGCAGCTCTTCCATGCTCTCAGTGGTCGCACCCTTGCTGCTAATCGTCCATGCTTCCAATTAGCGCATCAAGTTGCACATTCAACCACTAATGGTGCCGCCGTAGTGCAGCCCTTCGACGAGGCCTACCATCGTCGTCGTCGAGCGCGCGCCGCCACCGCTGCCCGCCGTCGGCGGCGGCGCCACGTCCGACGCCGTTTGCACAAGGGCCGAAAGTCGTCTTATGGCCGAGATGGCGGCCGCGGAACCGGCGGACGCCTACGACCCCGAGGAGACGCCCTTCGCCTACCAGCTGGAGCTGACGGAGATGCTGAGCGCCGCCGCGGAGCACAAGGTCGACGGCAACGCCCGCTTCAAGCGCCAGGACTACTCGTCGGCCCAGCGGCAGTACAAGGCGGCCCTCAAGGGCCTCGCGTCCAAGGGCGACCTCGAAGCGGACGTCGCGCGCTGCCTGGCGACGCGGGACCCGCCGAACGCCGAGGAGCTTGCGATCATGGTCGAGGAGCTCGCGGCGCTGCGCGGCGACTGCCACGTCAACGCGGCCGCGTGTCTCCTCAAACTGAAGGACTTCGAGAGCGCCGCGACGCACTGCGAGGACGCGCTCACCATCAAGCCCGACCACAAGAAGGCGCTCTTCCGCCTGGGCCTTGCCTACGAGTCGCTGGACAGGCTCAAGGAGGCCGAGGCCGCATTAACCAAGGCGCGCGCCGCGGACCCCGACGACAAGCAGATCGCCGCGAAGCTGAAAGCGATCAAAGCGCGGACGCGCGACGACCTCACGGACAACTTCGGCGGCCTCTTCAAGAAGGAGGGCTACGGCAAGGCGCGAAGCGCCGCGTCGCGCGCGAAGCAGGAGCGCGACCGGCGCGACTTCGAATTCACGAAACGAAAGTACCTCACGCACCTCACGGACGTGCTCGAGCGGTGCCTCAAGTTCACGGGCGACGCCTTCGAGGACTACGGCCTCGAGCTCGAGCAGCTCGCCGACGCCGGCGCCCGGAAGGCGTCGACGAAGGACAAGCCCCTCCACGCGTCGCTCGCGGAGCCGCGGAAGAGGCTCTGGAAGCTGTTCTACGTCGCCGCGCGGCGCCACAAGGGCTTCCGCATCACGGCGGCCGAGCGCGACAGCTGCGACGCCTGCCACGTCGACGTGCCGTCCAACGAGATC